TTTTTAAACGGTTTTACATAATTGTACTGTATTTTAATTATTTAACTTAAATCATTTCTTGTAAAACATGTAATAAAAATATTAAAATAAATTAAATAAATAAAAGTTCGCGTACACCGCCTACTGTATTTATAAAAACTTACTCCTCCATTTCAAGGTTGCCTGGAAGAGATCTCTTTTAGCGATAATGCCGACTTCTGCACGTCTTTTCTTTATATGTTTATGTATTTTTTTGCATCTTTTTCTTGGTGTACGATAAAATGTAATAATCATAATAATAAAACAGCAAATCTGACCACATAAAGCTATTAATTGCATATTGAAACATTGAACGTCCTTTAATTCCCAGATTCGAATTCCGAGCGAAGCAAAAGCAAATGACTAGTGCAATTGCATATGTAATATGGAGCGTCAATTAAATTTAATAAACACCGCTAAAACCAAATTTCTCTTAAATAATTACAATAATATTGTACAAAACGTTTTGAGTTAGCGCAAAAACGCGACGTTTCTTGTTTTTTGACAAAAAACATTTTCAAGGAATATTTAGTATCCGTTAAACGCTGTCATAACAGGTATGAATATAGATGTACGAAACATGGAGAAGGCATATTGGAATTTCTTTTTATCTCTCATTTTCTTTTCTCGGTTAGGCAAAGAGAATTTTATTTTTTCTTTACCAAACCGAAATTGTGTATGTATATATATGTATTAACATACATTCAATACAAAAATAAGATATGAGTACTGACGTTGATAATCTATATTAAATAGAATACTTCAAGGTGTTTAAGTAATATTTTTTCAATTTAATTTTCTTGTTATTGATTTCAAAGCGTGTCATTTAAGCACAGATTTCTTCAGCAATATTTGTAGTCAGTTAATATCCAAAGTCAGTCTCATACAACATATATCAAACAATTTACTTTTTGTATTCTATTTTTCGTAAATTTTCAATTGAGTTTTTTTTTACTTTTTTGCAAGATATATACAAGAAATCATTTTATTTACATCTGTAATAATGCCATTTCTAGACGCTGTACAATTCTACAACTATTATTTCGCCATCGCCTTTCTATTCTTCAATTAAAGACCCTTAATTGTTATTTTAGTATCTTAATTATTTTATATATTATATAATGCAGCATACTTTTCAAAAAAGGAAGTGCATCCCACGGGATAATCTGTTGCAAATTGCCTAAAGAGTTTAATTACTTCATTTATTATAATAATACTATAGCTATACATAGATGCCTAACAATGGCATATGTTACTCCAGGACATAGACTATCTGTATACTAAATTACATCCATATCTGTCCAGTCGTCTCAGTTTAAAGGAATAGTCAGATTTAATAGCATATCCATATATCGTGGATCCGTAAGCAAATAATTCCACAAAAGATGTCGGCAAAAAAAAGAAAAAATACCTACGCAACAAAACGAGACTAATTACTGACAATTGAGAATGTTCAATTTCGTGGAAAAATTGACTTTAATACATCCGTAATACGATTCATTATGTATTTTACATACATTTTTCCTTACAAGCACCGCCCAAGCGAGTTTTTTGTGAAAATTTTCGGCGCATGGGCGTTTGTATTTTTGACCCAACCCAAGTAATTGCAGGTTCAAATTAAACCGTGATGTAATTTGTACATTTTGACACGTTTGACATTTTAACTTTTTAAAATCTCTTTTATTTTTTTTCTGGCCATGATAACGTGATAATGTATCATCTTCACGCTATCTCCCTTATATAATTAGTAGCAAGAAAACTATTCTGTAGTCCCACTATTTAAATCCCACTGCTGGGTACGAACCAACCCTCGACGTGAGGGGGTCGCCATAGTCCTCCACAATGGTTAAGTGTGGGTTGACGGACTTCATATGTTTTTCAGAAACTAGTTTGATTCGCTCGCTCTTTTCATTTGCCATACTAGTAAGTCGTTATTTATGAAAATAATTTACTTTTGAACATTAAAATCTCATAGATGCGAAACCTGGTTTTGATTGCATCACTTGGTTTTCAAAGTGAACGTGTTATGAATAGGCTACCGCTACTATATAATCTATACTGATAAATAAAATTGAATGGTATGTTTGTAATGTCAAAATAACAACTTTTTACTAAATGCATATAAAAGTATATTCGGTACAAATTAAGAAAAAACAAATTTTTAAAATTTTTGTCTGGCTGTCTGTTCGTTCCGGCTAATCTCCGAAATGGCTGGACCGATTTAGACGGCACTTTCACTGGCAGTTAGCTGATGTTATAGGGAGTAACTTAGTCCACTTTTATTTTAGAAAAGAATTAGGGTTCCGCTCAAAAAAATCAAGTGACGCACCCGAGTGAAGCGAGGATAAGTCAAGTACAGTAATAAGTATCAAACCTAAACCTAGACTAAGGTCAACAAAAACACGTACATTGTATACAGTATCAAAACCCTTTTCTAAAATTCTAGTTTTTTTTAGCAGTAGTACTGACTCAAATATAAAAATTGTTGAACGAAAAAAAAGCCATAATAAAGTTTTTAAAAAGCAATAGTATATAATATTATTTATTCATTTTTTTATTCCTAAAAATTGTATATTAACTTAACTAATACATATATCAAAAAAATAAATTAAACAACAAATAATTAATTACGGCAACATCGAGAAAAAAAAGGCGAAAAGCAAATCACGCTACTATTTTTGACTTTGACATTTATTTTGGCGGACTCCGACTGATATCGCTAGTATTTATTTGTTATATTGATCAAAAATTTAACTTGTATAAGCCAAAAAGAAAGTAACTTCTAAAAGGAATTACAATGTTACATGTTTTAACATTTCTAGTTTCTATACAACTACTACGTGCTATGATGGGGCTATTAAACATAAGCAGCTTACGCCTTCGATTCTCGACTGAAGCAAATAAAACTATTACTCTGCGTCTGTTCAAGTCATAGTAAGTCGCGTTTTTATTATCATATTATTGGATACTAGCGCCTCACCCTCGTTTCGCTCGGGTTCTTGAAAAACCAAAACAAATTTATCCCATGGGAACCGTACGTTTTCTGGGATAAAAAGTATGTAGTATTGCAGACGATAATCTATCTCTGTGCCAAATTTCGTCTAGATCTGTTCAGCCGTTCTGGCGTGATTGAGTAACAAATATCCAAACATCTAAACTTTCACATTTATAATTTTTTACTTTTTTCATACGTTAGCACATATAAAAAGATATTTTTTTCTAGTTTAATTGCATTATTTTTGTGTGATATCTTTCCTGACTGTGACATGAATTTATTATCTTCTGTTGTTGTTTTTCTAAACTACTGTTTGTTCTTGATATATACCTCATTGGTCATGGGGATATATATATGTGGTATGTCCTGGGTTCGAATTTTAGGTTTGGCCAAGTAGAATTATTGAGTTTTCTATTAAAATGTATAAAATATACTTTGTAGAATTACTCCACTCTCGTAGGTCATAATGTAATGATAGATGTACATACATAGCTAGCTAGCTAAGACACAATTTTTCAAATTGGACCAGTAGATCCAAATTAACGTGTTCAAACAAACATACTAACTTTAGCCTTGTATGCATTCAGCCCTTTTTAACGTCCCACTGCTGGGGGTGGGCCTCCCTTCAATACGAGGGAGATCAGGCCATAGTCCACCACGATGGACAAGTGCGGGCGGACTTCACATGTCTTTTGAAAACTTGCTAGGTTTTCTCAGACATGGAGGTTTCCTCACGATGTTTGCCTTCTCCGATATGACAAGTGGTAATCATGCTGGAAATGATACACACATGAAAATATCAGAGGATTTTTTTTTCTCTATATATTAATATAGATATATGTTAATAGAAGCAATTAAATTATTAACATAATCGCTACCGCTTATACTTTACACTGAACTTCTTATCTCTTAATAAATTGCTGGTAAGTGCTCATTTGACGTTGTAAGTGAGATGTTGTACATACATACGTACAATCTATTTATCTGTATTATCATTTAGATCCCAGTGTTAAGAATTTATAACTGGATAGGCTTAGTTACTTTAGATTAAATTGTTGATTCAAATGGAAATATCTATACTCGTACATATAATAAAATTCTAACTAAACCGGATCTGTACAAAAAATATTTTTTGGAAAATCTTATTGAAATAGACATTATTATCGATACAGAGGCCGAATCTATAGTTTTTAGATTTTTTGTCTGTCTGTCTGTCTGTTTGTCTGTCTGTCTGTTACCGCACCACAGAAAAACCACTGGAGGGATTTTAATGAAATCTGGTATGGTGATAACTGGTTATCCGGGTCAACATATAGGATACTTTTTACAAAATGTCTCATTTCTGAGAAAAAATACAAAAACTGCAATGTAAGAGTATACTAATATGTAAATCCTAAGAATTTGGTTTTTGGTCATCTGAACGCGGGCGGAGCCGCGGGTAGTCCTAGTATATAATATAAAAATATACGTGTCTGAATCAAAAATATTAGGCTAGTTACTGTCTGTGGTTCTGCCTGCGTTTATAGTTTGTTAGCTTTGCATTTAACTGACTGACTATAATAAATCTTGGAAGTCTCTATCTCTACTAACTCTATCATCGAGCTGATCTGATGATGGATGATGGTGTCAGGAGGTGGACAGTGGAACTCTAAGGAGTTCCACTATCCACCTCCTGACTTTTACCATACCATAAGTGGTATGGTAAAATATTCGAATTTGGGCTCATTTTTGTTCGTTCTGATAGATCTTATACTAAAGTAACAATTATTTATTGTAATGACTTTACATGAAGCTTTGGATTTATTATAAGATCTAGATCTATGATCTAGCTCATGTCAAAACTTAATGGCTTCACTGATATTTATGTAAATACATAAACTTGTGTTAATTTTAATATTTGCTTGTATGTACACTAAAAAAAGCATATTAATTAACTAATGAATTCTGAAAAGAGTAAAAACCAAAATTTCTATATAAAACCCATTTATTCCAAATCCACATTAGATAAATCTTCCGTTATCTTCTTTATATCTTCTTCACTTCTCTGCCCCATTTTCTTTGCTTCTTCTTTTTTCTCTCCATACAATCTTTTTAGCTTGTCCAAATTATGTTTAGATATGGCAGGGTTTGGTTGGTGAATCTCATACTCTCCTTTTTCATTCTCTACTAGTTCTACCATAGATTCTTCTAAATTCAACGTTTCAGGTTTAACCCATTTCATTGGTTTTGAAGGATTTTTCATCTTCTGTGCCCAATTTTGAAGATACTTTCCAGCATCAGTTTGTAGCAACTGTAAGTAAAGTATAATTTAATTAACAACCGCCAAATATTTTTGCATTTTTCTAATAACGAATGTTCGTACAGTGGTCTAAATTCAATTATAATTATTATTGCGAATTTGAGGACAACATATGAATAGAATTTACCAATCACTAAAAAAACTTTTTTTTTTTATTGATAACACTAAAGCTCGTCAATCAACTATCTACGGTTTTTATAAGAAAAATACAATTTTTAAATTTTTTATCTATTTGTCTGTTTGTTCAGGCTAATCTCCGAAATGGCTGGACTGATTTTGACGGGACTTTCACTGGTTTTTAGAAAAAGAATTAGGGTTCCACTCAAAAGAAATAAAAAGCACCTAGGGAAGCACCCGAGCGAAGCAAGGGTAAATCGCTAACTACCCATAAATTTTGTTTAGCTCCTGAGATAATATTTTATAGTTAACTTACTACGAAGACATTGCTCTTTAAATTTTGTTTTTATCCTTACATTACACAATAAGTTCGCCAATACGAACCGTTTTTAAATATTCTTCTTTATTAAATAGGCATTATACTTTCTTAGAAATATAAATATATTATATTATATATATATATATATATATATATATATATATATATATTTAAATTAATAAATAGGCATTGAGTATGATGTCAAATGAGTCTTTAAACATCTCCACCATAAATGGTGGAATAATGCTTTTCTGGGTCATTTTGAAGACGATATTATATTCTACTCAAATCAGTTATGCTAATTGGTAATAGGTATATCCATACTAATATTATAAATGCGAAAGTAACTATGTTTGTCTGTCTGTTACCTTTTCACGCTTAATCCGCTGAACCGATTTAGATGAAATTTGATAAGGAGATAGTTGGATAGGATGTTTTTATTCTGGAAATCATCCGTTAAGGGAGTAAAAAGGGGTTGGAAAAGTTTGTATGAGGAATCAATCATTTCTGAAGTAATAAGGGATGTAAAATTCATGATACTTATTTATATATTATACTCTATCTATTCCTTAATAAGGGTTAAATATTTAAAATAATACATACTTTGTCTCTGTTCTTATTAGTTTTCACCGTGGGTGGAGAGGGCGCTTGGCGTTTGTTATTGCTGTTACCATTCTTCGGAAATGGTTGACCATCTGCAATCAAAAAAATATATATTACAACCAATCGTCCAAACCAAAGCGGAATAAGACTGCAGGGAAAAAAATTTACAAATATACATATATTTTTTTATATTTAATATAAAAAAAACCGACTGCATAATACTTTTATTAGATTTACGCGAATATTTCACATTTTGAATAAAACTATCTTTTCGAATTATTTCGCGGATTTATTTTGATTTTTGTTTTCCGACGTTTCGAATGCTTTACAGCATCAATGGTCACGGGAGAGACTAAAGTTTTAGACATCTCAAAGGCCTTATATATTTGTTTATTTAAGACCTGACTGTGTAAAAGCGAACTAAAAATATGAGAACAAGTTGACGAAGAATTGTATTATGCAGTCGGAGACACAATACACTTAGCAAGACTCACAGCCAGCCAGACATTTAAGTACATATGTCACATATTGTTATATTCTTGCTTCGTTATGGGATAGAACGAGAATTATCTTTTGTCTGCGATAAAAGCAAAGAAATAGTGCTATATAATTTGTATTGCATGTTATGTATGTCCACTGCCTTTGTGGTATAGTGGCTAGCATGTACGGCTGCACATCCAAAGGTCCTGGGTTCGATTTCCGGGTTGGACCAGGCTTACTTATTGAGTCTTTCTGTATAGTAAGTCGCAGTAACAGCCCGGAGTTGGGAAGTTGGTGGTGTTTTACCCCCCGTGCCTCGGAGAGCACGTAAAGCCGTCGGTCCTGCGCCTTAACTCTCACTGGTCGTGTCGAGCAGTCGTCCCACCGGAGTATGAGAGTAACAGGAATAGAGAGTACACGTTGTGTCTGCGCGTACACGCACTGCACTATAATATCTCCTGCGCAGTTGGTTAGTCTCAATGAGATTGGCCGCCGTGGCCGGAATCGGTCAGGAGAACATCATCTTTCCACACGTTTTTACTTTAGTTTTCGCTTTCTATTTTAGATTTCTAAATGACTTTTTAAGTAGACTTCTAAAGTCATAAACATTGTTTAAACATCTTTAAAATACTGGATATAATGTAGATAATAAAATAGTTGTCTTGAGTCTACTTTAGTAGTTGTCCTATGTCCTTCTTCAAAATCACATCTATCTCTGTACCAAAATACATCAAAAACGTAACAACAGACAGACAGAATAGCTTTCGCACTAAAACTATTAGTTCAGATGTATGTAAATACGAAAAATCTAAGCAAAAAATAATAAAACTCACTCAGCTTCATAGTTTCTGTTTGAGGTCCTAGCTCCAACAAAATTTGGAAGTCTGCATGGTTGCCAAAAGCATAACCAAACCCAATACGTGAATCTGTGCCTGAAATATAAAAAAAAACACAAATTGTTCTAAATAGACTCTTCTTTATTATTGCACTAAAGACTATATATATGTCGTAGTAAAATTATAAAATTAGGCTTTCTACAATACTGGTGTTCGTCCAGTGGTCAAAATTTGACCATAATCAATTATAATTCATAAACACTAACATAACTAAACAAGAAAAAAGTAAACCTTTTGACAAACAGAGGAGAAAAAGGTACTGAACAGTTTTTTGTCTTTAAAAATTAATTTAAAATAGTCCGTTTATTCACTAAACGGACTATATATTTCATGATAGCCTATATGTAGGGACAGCACCATCTAGTTCCATGGTAAGCTACGAGGCCTGTGTTATGGATACCAGATAGTTGATACACTACACATATATAACTTTAAATACCTACATTATTATTATAAATATAAACATCCATGACATTTGTGCTTATCACACAAATGAATGCTTCCAGCGGGACTCGAACCCGCGACCGCTGGCACAGCAAGTAGGGTCACTAAAAACTGAGCTAAACTTGTCGTCGTGTCATATAATATAATATAGTCTATCTATTCCATACTAACCGTTAAAAGTCACCGTTAAAAGTATATGTAGATATTTTAACCTTAACATTATCTACTTCCTTTTAATTTGAGGTCATATATAATAAAATTGAAAGTGACCCTTTCATTTCTGAATTAAACAAGTTTTAATATTTTTAATTAATCGTTTGAGGCGTGTAATTAAGTTTTAGAAACTTCGCTTGCATCATATTTGTCTAAGTACTCAGCCATTTTGAACGTCCCACTGCTGGGTAAAGTCCTTCAATGAGAGTGAGACGTTTGGCCATAGTCCACCACGTTGGCGAACTACGGGATGGCGAACTTAATATATCTATGCTTTCCTTTACCATAAGACAAGCGGTAATCATGTTAGTGGTAATCAGAAGAAGATACGAGATTTGATGATATTAATATTTTTTTAATATTATCCATACTAATATTATAAAGAGGTAAAGTTTGTGAGTTTGTGAAATTGTGAATTATGAGTTTGTGACGTTGTGGGGGTAATCTCTGGATCTACTGAACCGATTTAGATGAAATTTGGTAAGAAGATAGTTTGAGAACCTGAGAACGACATAGGATATATACAAAGACAAAACAGTTCAACACCTTTTTCTCCTCTGTATGTCAACAGTTTTTTTTTTCTGTTTAGTAGCTATTGACGAGCTTTAGTGTTATCAATATACAAAAATTGGAAACATTTTTTTATATGTATCTATGTATCAGCCCTTTTTAACCTGCCACTGCTGGGGGTGGGCCTCCCTTCAATACGAGGGGGATCAGGCCATAGTCCACCACGATGGACAAGTGCGGGCGGACTTCACATGTCTTTCGAAAACTTGCTAGGTTCTCTCAGAGATGCAGGTTACATCACGAAGTTTTCCTTCAAGTTAGAAATGATTCGCACATGAGAATATCAGAGGTGCGAGACCCGGGATTTGAACCCGTTTTGTCAGTTTCCCTAGCGAGCGCGTTACGACTGGTCTACCGCTGCCTATTTTTATATATAGATAGGTAAATTCTATTCATAATATTATGTTTTGCCTCAAATGTTCAATAACGATTATGGTCGGAATTCGACCATTGAACGAACACAAGTAATATTAATAAATTATTATGCACCAAGGCTATATAAGTAATGTTTTGTAATTATTAAAAAAAAAAACAAACAAAACTAAAGCAACTTTTATTCAACCTTCAGCTTGTGAATTGCTTCCTAATATGGTCTAAGTACGTGGAATTCCAAACTTTTTTGGTTATATTTTTAACTAACGACGTTATGTATCAATTTTTTTGATCGGAATCTTAATTCTTTTACTAAAATAAAAGTAACCCAAGTTACTCCTTATAACATCAGCTATCTTCCAGTGAAAGTCCCGTCAAAATCAGTCCACCCGTTTTTGAGGTTAGGTGTAAAAAACAGACAGATAGACAGAAATATTAAAAATTGTGTTTCTCTTATAAGTACCTAATATAATATAATATATACTTTCGTATGTATTTACATTTAGTAAAAAGATGCTATTATGACATTATAAACAGACACTTCAATTTTATTTTTTGTATACATTTTTTTCTATGATCTTATTGAATTTGACGTTAAAATTTTGTTTTAGGTACATCAATATATTTATATTAGTAAAAGTAGTGTAAAAATCTTTGATCTTAAAACTTAAAAATTGAAACACTCTTTTTAGAACTACTTTAAACTAAGGAATAGGCACTACTGGCAGTGTCATAGAACTAAGCATGACATGTATATAATACTAGCAGAACTCGCGGATTCGCTCGCTATAAAACTACAAAAAAACTCGAAAAAAGTATGTTTTTTTACCTTTTTTTATTGGTGGTATATTAGAATATAACACGGAAAGTAAGGAAGGAAGCTCTTCCGGTATGATGACTGCACATGATGCTGAAACAAAAAACAAAATGATTATTTATTTGATTTCTAATAAGGTCCTAGATCTAGATCTGTTAGATCTAGATTAGGCTAGCTAAGATGGCACACCTTGGGAATGAAATGATCACTTCCAGGCTACTTCAACTTGATAGAAATATTGTAAATTATAATTTTACTTTAAAAAAAAGATTAGTTATTTTACTTTAAAAAAAAGAGAGTTAATATTAGTCCCGCTGAGTTTTTTTTCGCCAGTTCTTCTCAGGTCTGAGGCTTCTTCTTTCCGAACTGGTAGTAGACTCGTGACGTACAGTAAAAAATTGTAATAATTTAATGCTGAATAAAATATTTTGAATTTGAATTTGAAAAAAAAACCTCACTGACTTTGAGAAGCTCTGACTCATTTTAAAATGTGACACCTGCTAGGAACAATATTGTAACTCTTTAAATTTTATCTTTAATATGAGAAATACATCATTTATTAACTCACTTTTATTAGCTTTATTTAGTACCAAACTGCCAATAAAATCAAATTTTGGAATTAAATACTGCTTCTAATATGTACTTCTAGTACCTCATAAAATGTTGTAAAAGAAATCCAGATGATGATGAAACCAGAAGATGCGTAGTCGAACTCTTCAACGGATACTAGTAAAATTTTTGATGTATACTCATTTATTTCACTTCGACGAGCTTCGTACATTAGAGTAGATCAAAAAAGCGTATTTTGAAGTTATACTTCTTTTGGTCCGTTTGAAAAAAAATATGAGAGTAACATTTTTACGATGCGCGCGCACACCGACAGCCAAAAAGCGACATAATGAAGTCAGCTGAAAGCGGCATGATGAAGTTAGGGGCAGAGTTGGGACGTACGGGATGAAATCTTTAGCTATTTTTGTTCTGTTACGCCAACGAAGTATAACGTGCGTATATAAGTACACACACACGTTTTTTTTAAATTAATTATATTATTTTAAACTGATGACTTATCTTCCCTTTGCTTGGGTACGTCCTTAGTGTATTTTGTATTTATAATACTGTCGCGTAGTATAGAGTATATAACGTCTTTATACCAAACATATTAATTCAAAATGGCACGTATGAAGATGAATGAGATATGAATTTTATCCTTTGGTTTGACTTAACGTCACATGTCGACGGAAAAAACTTTTTGAAGAGATATTTGTTAGGAAATGTGTATCTATGTTTTTATATATCAATGACACGTAGATATATTATATACAGATAGAGCTACCTTTTTGCAAATTTTATTAGTAACTAGCATTGCCCGCGGCTCCGCCCGCGTTCAGATGACCAAAAACCAAATTCTTAGGTTTTACATATTAGTATACTCTAACTTTGCAGTTTTTGTATTTTTTCTCAGAAATTAAATATTTTCTCGCGGTAAAAAGTATCCTATATGTTGACTAGGATAACCAGCTGTCACTATACCAAATTTCATCAAAATCCCTCCAGTGGTTTTTCTGTGATGCGGTAATAGACAGACAGACAGACAAAAAATCTTAAAACTATAGATTCGGCCTCTGTATCGATAATAATGTTTATTTCAATAAGATTTTCCAAAAAATATTAGATGTACAGATTCGGCTTAGTTACAATTTTATTATATGTATGGACTACTTTTGATACTAGTAGAATTATCTCCATAGGTACTAAGTTACATTATTGTTCTTCGCATATGTCGAAACTTGATACAATTATATAACACGACCTCGACCCGCACTCTCGAGATTCGCGAAACGTTGAACTTTCTGTAACTAGGTCGTATTGACTAACATCCGGCCCTTACTTCGCTTACTTTTAAACAGGGCTCGGAAACCTGTTCAAAATATAAAACCCGGAAAACGGTATTTAACGTATTTAGGTTCCACGATCAAATTTAACCGGTTAAAATGAGTTTTTGTGTGTTAACATTTGGCGAATTTTTGCTAATGGTGAATTACTTAGTAGAATTATTCATGTACCGTGTACGTTTCTTACTTAAGAACCGATTTATTTTAGTATCAAAACTTTAGTCTAACATTTCTTTACGAATAACTGTTAACCCTTATTTCGGTTTACTAAACCGTTCGTTTTTATTAACCGGTTTAAGAACGATCGATGAATTAACCGAATTACATTACCGAATTTAACCTTTTTTAAACGGTTTCGGGCCCGATTCATTTTGACATTTCATACAACGTTCCTCACCTTATGATATAATTTTGATAATACATAATATGTTTGTTTACAAATGTTATTTTTATTAGTTTTTGAATGTACATATTTTTTTAATCATGCAGATGGAGGGCGTTATTGATTGCAATACTGTGTTAACTTCTGCAATTATTACGATTTATATCTGTTTTTACTATTTAATCAAATACAGTCGTATTTACTCATGAACTAAGATTTTTTTGTATCCAGAACCCTCAAAACAACTCCAAAACTCATACTATATCATAAAATAGCAAATATTTATATAAAATCAAAAGAAAGAGTTACTATGTTTTTTTTCTACCCCACAGGAAACCAAACTATAAGACGCAAGATGGCTGACTTCACACGTCTTTTGACAACGTTAGGTTCTGCCAGTCAGACACATTTCCTAACAATGCTTGCCTTCACCGTATTAGCAAGTGATGATTGAAAAAGATTCGCACATCAAAATATAAGATCAGCGAGACCTGGTATTTGAACCCACTTCCAGTGCCATATTTAACCTTAGCGCCGCCCCTGGGCACTATAAAAAATGTTGCCCTATTATCAAAACTTTTGAACAATATCTTGAAAGTTTATTTTTTTTCATTATTAAATTTTTGAAATTTGCAATAAAAAATAATATAAAAATGATATCAATTTTTCGAAAAATGTACCTACTAGTTAATCTTTTTTTATTTCTCATTTTTTGTAAAATAAAAAAAGCATTTTCGACAACGCAAAGATTTTTTTTCCCGCCCTCCGAATTTGGCCGCCCGTAAAAATTTGCTGCCCTGGGCACTAGCCCCGAGTGCCCCTAGTGTAAATCCAGCATCGCCCACTTCTCTTGGTTTTTTATCCGAGCGTGTTACTAATAAGCTACCACTGCAATAACAAAAAGACGAAGAAGGAAATAACTGCTAAGCGATTAAGTTTTGGACAATTTCTGTTTTTGCTACGTACAGATATACATATATACATACATTTATCATACATTAGTATAATGATTAGGTACATTAATTAATGTAATCAGTTTTAATTGCTATGAATCAGATATCATCAATATTGCTAAATAGTTAAAGCATTTATTTATAATTTTGAAAGTTTCTCAGAAAGAGCTTTAGCGTTAATTTTTTCATAGAATTGTATTTCTTATAAAGGGCTTGACCTATTTTGATGAAATTTTTATGTCCTTTTAGAGCCATCTGCACGGTTCGCGGCTATAGTTGAATCCGTTGGTGCTATTATCAAGATTCATTTTTTTTCCGACCAAACGATCTATGGCAGGACACCCGATTATGATAAAATTATAGTATACTCGTACCACATTAATGGATAGTATAGATTTCTCAGAGATGAGATATTTTTCCGCAATAAAAAGTCCTATATGTTGACATATCCTATATGTTGACGTGGATAACCAGCTATCATCATACCAAATTTCATCGAAATGTAACGTAAAAAAATAGACAGACAAAAATTCTAAAAACTACAGATTCGGCCTCTATGTCAATAATAATGACTATGTCAATAAATATAATTTCAAAAAATATTTAACGTACAGATTCGACTTAGTTAGAATTTTGTTATATGTATAGATTTTAGTACATACGTGCGGAAAAGCTTATGACATAGTACGATGTACTGGGACAAGGGACGGGAAGCTCGACTCATACCGACACAACCAGTAAATTAAGTATATATGTACGTATGTATGTATGTATGTATGTAACATGTATAGTATTCCATATATATGTTACTTTAAACACGTGGAAAGCAAGGGCGCTATGTTATCTTAATATCTGTATAAAAAAACTAATAACATTTACTTGGGTTAACAAACTTTAACCTCTGTACTCAATGACCTATATAAATTGATTTTAGTTCTTAATTTTACAATTTTAAATGAAATTTTGTTTAAAAATTAAGTTTGAATTATTATTATTTTTTTTAATTTAAATTGTTTTAATTACAACATTTTTTTTTTAATTAAAAAGATACTTACCAAATGAAACTAGGAACAGAGATAAAACCACAAATATTCCCATATTGGCACCAAAAGTTATATCATTGTCACTTCACAAATAATCAAAAAAAAAATTAAAAAAAACAAACTGTCACCGTCGCGATTTACCGCCAACTGACTGGGTATGTTGAACTTTCACTATTGCGACAAGGTTTTATCTAATGCGCGTTTTATATAAAATGGAGTACTATTTCGATCAATATAAAGTTCATTTTCCATTAACTTTCACATATAATTTTCAAAAACTATTAATTTATAAGCAATTAAAATATATTTTTATAATATTACGCTTCAACTCTATCCTCTACAACATAAGGTTTATTATTGAATAACGCAATAAATTTTACCTATGTGTGTGTTTCCATTCACATTACAATCACTAATATTTTAAACATATATACGAAAATAATTTAAATAAATTTTAACCTTAATTTAAATCATTAAGACTTAATTTAGTTCGAATAAAAGTGACACTTACGATCTTTTAGAGCACACTTCCACCACTTTCATATAAGTGAAACCACAAGTGTTTTCCAACTACGTAGAAAGCAAGCACAGTGTCGTGTTTTACCATAGAAATAACAACACGGTGAGACACAGTGTTTATTATCGTGTTATTATGTTATTTAGGATATTTCCGTATAAATGAATATGAAGAAAATTTTATATAATAGAAAATCTTTATTAATTAATGTTTTTATGGTTTTTAAAGGTAATAAATGCTTTATGTGACCCATTGATTGTTTAAGACTTATATTTATACATATAATAAAATTCTGAGTCCAATCCGTGCATTAAATATTTTTTGAAATAGCAATTATTAATTGTTATCGATACAGAGGCTAAATCTGTAGTTTTTAGAATTTTTGTTTGTCCGTCTGTCTGTCTGTCTGGGAACGCATCACGAGAAAACCACTGGATAGATTTTCATGAAATTTGGTAGTATAGTATTATATGATCTGTGGTATGATGATAGTTGGTTATCCGGACTCGAACCCGCGACCGCTGGCACAGCAAGTAGGGTCACTACAAACTGAGCCAAACGAAATCACTTTTTCAAATTTTTGTTCAATGTTTTTGTCGTGTGGAGTCAATATTTTATAAGAAAAATGCGAAAAATGCAATGGATGTTAAAATCAAGGCTGAACTACGTAGATATTGGTGGTACATAATTCATATCTAAAATATAAATAAAAAAATCGGACAAGTGCGAGTCTGATTCGCACACCGTGGGTTCCGTAGCATGAAACATTAAAATAAGTTTTTTTTTGTTGTAAAATAACTATACATGGTTTCAGATTTTTCCCTTTTACTTGTGCTTTAATATATTGCTTCTTGCCAAATTTCTTGGTCCTACATCAACAGGAAGTACCCTATAGGTTTTGATTCTCTTGTGAGCGGCATGAACAGCCGTATCTTTTGATTATCTTGACAAACAGACAGACGGACGGACAACGAAGTGATCCTATAAGGGTTCTTTTTTTCTTCTTGATGTACGGAACCCTAAAAATACCTCAAAACCTAGAGTAAATCAAATTTTCGATAGTTTATAAGTCGATAGTTTATAAACACGCAACTCAATCCACCAATCCGACTCGCTCTTGGCCGGTGTTTCATGTATCACAATCATAAGTTAACTGTCTTTTTTTCCTTTTATTATCATTTCAAGGCTACTCATTGTGTGTAATTATGGGAATCGAACCTAGGACCTTCAATGACACTAATTCTCACATTTGTCATTTATCCTCCATTGGAAACGCTGTGTATTTTATTTATTTTAATAATGAATGTTAATTTAGTGTGTTTTATTTTGGTTTTAAAACGTAAGTAATTTTCATAAAAATTAGCCATTTGGTAATAAGTTGTTGTAGCGTATTCATAGATGGCGTTGTTTAATATTTACAAGTAATACCACGATTAAAAAAACCTAACTTGTTTTATTAAATGTGATATGATTTGCCATGTTTTACTATAATAAGTATAGTAAACTTGTATAAAAATACAATAGTTCGACAATTTGCGTCTCAACATCATCTAGAAGAAAATAGAAATTGCCCGAACTAAGGCAGTCCAATGTCTTTGTATGAGATAGGGTATCAGTAGGTACTACGAGTAGTAAAGTATTGTGTCATCTGACCGAAATCAAATAAGCGCTTTTGAACACATATTAATATTCTCCATGGTGGACCTCAGGGGTCCCAAATATATATAAAAAAGTGTCTGTGTTCTTATGTACGCACGTAAGCAGTTATACTTTGGTGTAACAGAACAAAAATAGCTAAAGATTTCATCCCGTATGTTACAATTCCCTGTTTGTAAAAGGAATGTAGCTAACTTCAACATGTCACTCTTTGGCTGTCGGTGCGCGCGCGCATCGTAAAAATTTTACTCTTATATTCTTTTCTCAAAAGTAGTATACATCTAAAACTTATCCCTACGAATGGAATTATTACTTATAAGCGATATTGATCTTGAAGTTAGTGGTAGCCCAGTGGTAACACTTGTGAAACCTGTCCTTTGAGTTCAAACTTGGGTCTCGCACCTCTGATATTTTCATATGCGAATCATTTCCAATATGATTACCACTTGTCTTATAGTGAAGAAAAACATTGTGAGGAAACCTGCATGTCTGAGAGAACCTAGCAAGTTTTCGAAAGACATGTGAAGTCCGCCAACCCGCATTTAGCCAGGCGTGGTGGACTATGGCCTGATTCCCCTCGTATTGAAGGGAGGCCCACCCCCAGCTGTGAGATGCTAAAAAGGGCTAAATGAAAAAGAAGTGAATTTAAACTCAATGTATAGTAAAAAGTGTATATTTTACTATTTCTCATAATCGTAAACATTACGTACCATATTGATGTAAGTGTGTCAAGGCACACTCGCGTAACCGACGTTAAATATCCAAAACTATCAGTAAAATCTTTACTTACATACTATCTAAATATTAGTGTTTGCGCCCAGTTTTGTCTACTATTTATTTAACAATTTGGGTTTTTTTCTTCTCCATATGAGTAATATTGTAACAGATTTTGTACCGACTTTAAAAAGAAAATTACGCGATATTTTCGCCAACTGTATTTAATTTTAGTAATTCCTTTTGAATAAATATTGTACTTTAAGTGTATCGTATAGAATTCTATTAAATTTTAGTGGTTTTTAAGGCAATGTACATTTTTAGTTCAAAAATCTTTACACCCAATCCCATTGTTTCCCGTGGGATTAGGCAAAGGAGGAAAGACTTTGTTTTTTACGTAATACGAAATAGTATTTACGAGTATCTATTCAAAAAGACAACTTGTTATGACATTTTACTATAATAGATTATCGCTTTGTTATATATTAACAGATAAAATCATCCAGCCATTTTTAACGTCCCACCGCTGAGCTCTTTAACGATGGGCATCAGGTCATACCACGCAAGTCAAATGTGAGGTGACGGAATTTGCATGTCTTTCGAAAACGTTCTCTCAGACATGCAGATTTCCTCACGATGTTTTTGTTAAACCTAACAAAAATGGAAATTTTTGTAAGTTCTTACTGTGTGGATCAAAATGATAGCTTTTCAGATTAATATTTTTCATTTTTCATTTGTAAAAGTATATATTAATAGTGTTGCTTAGTAAATTGTCTTTTTAAATAATAGCAAACTAAATTAAAATTATTATCCTTAATTAATTTTAACTTTTTAAATTACACATAGAACAATTATATGAGTAAATATAGATTACTAATTAATATTTTTAATATTGTAATAATTATAATAATAACAGCAAAAATTAAATAAATAATATTCCATATTCAATTATAAAACTAATTAAAATTATAAAAATGTTTAAAATTAAAAAATATTGTAAGGTAATTGGTGCAATTTTCATTTTGTTATTTGTGGGTAGGCTGTCTGTAACAACTATACCTTCGAGACATCTAACACCTGAGTCTCTCCCGTGACCATGATTGCTGTAAAGCATTCGAAACCTCGGGAACCAAAAATCCAAATAAATCCGCGAAAAAATCCGAAAAGATAGTTTTATTTAAAATGGAAATTTTGTTGAAAATTATTTGTACATAAAAATATTAAGGATACAGGTTCTTATAATTTACTAGCGACCGACCCTCGCTTCGTTTGTGTTCATCTTTAATAAATATATTATATAGAACAGATAAATAGAATAGATATATAGAATATAAATATATATATATATATATATATATATATATATAATAGATAAATAGAATAATAATAGAATAGATGGATAAATATATTATAGTACACATACATAGGTATGATCCAAATTCATTACTTGCATTCAAACTTTTATCCCCCTTTTCACCCCCTTAAGGAATGATTTCTGGGATAAAAACTATCCTATATCCTTCGCAGGATCTCAAACTATCTTCATAGGAAATTTCATCTCAATCGGTTCAGTAATTCCAGAGATTATTTCCTACAAACAGACCCACAAACTTACAAACTTTACCTCTTTATAATATTAGATATTATTATTGTAGATTTATTTTATAAGCACATTTACAATATATATATGTACAAATTAAATTATATGAAGACACTAAATTATATGAAAAGTAACACGCTCACTGATATGTACTCGTATGTATATCAATAATAAATGTATATAACATTCACCAACAAATATTATTATGTAAAACATTGAGAAAGGAAAAAGAAAATTATTATTTTTTTTTTCAATCTAAAAACTCACTGATTGATGATGACTGATGAAATAGATGAATATTATGTAAGTATAAAATAATATGAACTGCCTCGGTGGTGTAGTGGCTAGCATGTACGGCTGCACACCCGGAGGTCCTGGGTTCGAGTCCCGGGTCGGGCCAAGTTTAGTTATTGAGTCTTCCTGTATAGTAAGTCTCAGTAACAGCCCGGAGTTGGGAAGTTGGCGGTGTTTCACCCCCGTGCCTCGGAGAGCACGTAAAGCCGTCGGTCCTGCGCCTTAACTCTCACCGGTCGTGTCGAGTGGTCGTCCCACCGGAGTATGAGAGTGATAGGAATAGAGAGTGCACTTGTGTCTGCGCGTACACTTGAGCACTATAATATCTCCTGCGCAGTTGGCTAATCTCAATGAGATTGGCCGCCGTGGCCGGAATCGGCTAGGAGAACATCATAAAATAATAGAAGATGATGATTGATGAAACTCACTGATTGATGATGACTGAGTGAGTCTTTTGTTGTTTGTTTATAATAGGTTCGAGACCCGGGAATGAAACTGTTTCACTTAGTTTTCGAAACGAACCCTTCACCATTAGACTACAACTGCCTTTGAACGATAGATCAATAGAAAAAAATATATAAATTAAAAATTTTAAAACTCCCCTACGCAAATTAATTGTCATTCATTACATTACATTAATGATAACACTGGCACGCGTGAAGCACTTAATCGAGTAATCATACGCCAAAGTGCCTTACATCATTTGGGAAAAGAGCTGATACTCTTACACTGCTGGACCGATATAAGCCAAACATAGATACGAACCACCGCAAGGAAACTGGCTTTCAGATCCGTTTAAGAGCTACGATGCCACAGACAGACAGACACACACACAGACAGACATCGACGTCAAACTTCTAACACCCCTCTTTTTGCGTCGGGGGTTAAAAAACAATGTTAGCCCTAAAACAAAAATAGTACCAAGTAAAATACAACTTTGAACTCATTACGATTTTATTATTCTTACATAATATTAATATCGCATTAGTCTTTAGGATTTCTTAACATCAGTTAAGTATCCCATTAAATAATACGTGTTCATAAACTTTCACTTACATCTTTGGTCCAATCAATTCAGTGGTTAGCTAACCTTTGAAAGCACGTGGTTGCAGGGTCGGTTTTGAGTCAAAATTGCATTAAATCGTGAGGTTATTATTAGTTTTTTTTTGTTATTAGTGTCTACTGTATATTTAGATACTTGCTACTTACCCTTGCTTCTGACGAGTGAGTCCGTATATGTCTATTGCATTTATAATATTACGCTACTGGCTACGGGCACTCGGGGAAAAGATCAAAAACGTCAATATTCTTTAAATATAATATACATTTATTATACATAAAAACGATTCTAAAGTAATTCTCTAAATATTAGTGAAAGCGGTGATGTTTAGTTTAGAGAAACTAAGCGCACAAACAGACACGAACAACGTTCATATACATATAACACAAGACCAGTTTGAATATTTGACAGTGAATTTTGTTTAAACCAACATATTTTTTGCTATTTGTCATTAAACTTCAGGACTCCGCTTGAATTTCCGAGTTTTTGAAAAGAAGCCCTTCTCGACACCTCTAAAATATCATCATCTATACTAATATTATAAACAGGTAAAGTTTGTGAGTTTGTGAGATTGTGAGTTTGTGACGTTGTAGTGAGTAATCTCTGGATGTACTGAACCGATTTAGATGAAATTTGGTATGAAGATAGTTTGAGACCCTGGGAAGGACATAGGATACTTTTTATTCCGGAATTCATCCCCTAAGGGGGTAAGTTTGTATTGGGAATCAAGCTAGGGACGAACCCGAGCGAAGTGAGGGTGAGTCACTAGTCTAATATATAATCATTATTTGACTGCCTCGGTGGTGTAGAGGCTAGCATGTACAGCTGCACACCCGGAGATCCTGGGTTCGAGTCCCAGGTCGGGCCAAGTTTAGTTATTGAGTCTTCCTGTATAGTAAGTCTCAGTAACAGCCCGGAGTTGGGAAGTTGGCGGTGTTTCACCCCCGTGCCTCAGAGAGCACGTAAAGCCGTCGGTCCTGCGCCTTAACTCTCACCGGTCGTGTCGAGTGGTCGTCCCGCCGGAGTATGAGAGTGATAGGAATAGAGAGTGCACTTGTGTCTGCGCGTACACTTGAGCACTATAATATCTCCTGCGCAGTTGGCTAATCTCATTGAGATTGGCCGCCGTGGCCGGAATCGGCTAGGAGAACATCATCATTATTCTATCAATACTTTTTCCAGAGCCTGCAACCGATGCTTTCTTCTTCGTGGTGCCAGAGGACGTCGCGATGGGTTTCACAGCGTATTACGGATTTGCTCCTAGGATTGTGAAAGGTACATTTTATAATAATTTCATTGACAGATAACTTCCAGCCTAATAAGAAGCATGGATTTTTAAAAGAGACGAAATACTTTTAAATTATATATTTTTAAATTCATCATGTACTGAGGTTTGATAAGAGTTGAAAGTTTATATAAAAGTTCGACATTTTTAAGCTAAAAAATAATTCCATTGGCGACTTAGCTAGCGGTGTATACATAGGTATGTATTTCTAGACTTGTACTGTATTTTGTTTTCATTTATAACAGCCAAAACAACTCATAATAAGAAATAGGACATTATTTTAGAAAAATAATAATTTGGCTCGGTTTGTAGTGACCCTACTGATTGCTGGCTGTGCCAGTGGTCGCGGGTTTGTGTCCCGCTGGGGGCATTCATTTGTGTGAACAGCACTACTAAAGAGATAGAGAGAGAAAGATAAATAAAGTGGACGGAAACTGATCAGGAAGATATTATATGTATATATTCTTACAGGAAATGACCATCGCGTCGGTTTTGGCTTCCGTTTCGGGAACCACGCTGATTTCCAAATACTGTATGAATTCGGTCCCCAGATAACTACGAAACCTTTAGAATCTAAACGTAAGTATAACAGCGTCAATCCGGTGCTTAAGAAAACCTAATTTGTTCAAAATAGTTTGGTTTTTTCTTCTATTTTAAAAACAAACCTTTAAAGCCTTTAAACCTAAAAAAAAATATTACATAATATGTATATAGAAAAAATACGTATTTTCTTTTTTAACAAAAAATCATAGACGTAGAGAGTGGACAGAGTTGTTACTTTGCCAGCCGTCAGCTAAAATATTGGCTAGCACATAGGCTAGTCTTAGTAATAAATTGCCAAAAGGTGGGGTTACCTGAATAAAATAATAGTACCAGGGTTTTCGGAACAGTTATAAAAATTGTGTTTGTTCTAAAAGTACACCTATATACGTACATAAAATTAAAAAGCAAAACCTTATCTAAATACAAAATTTGATCGAAATCGTTAGAGCCGTTTCCGAGATACGCGAAATAAATCTATACATATACTAAAATTGTAACTAAGCTGAATCTGTACATTAAATATTTTTTTAGAAAATCTTATTGAAATAAACATTATTTTCGATACAGAGGCCGAATCTATAGTTTTTCGAATTTTTGTCTGTCTGTCTGTTACCGCATCACAGAAAACCCACAGGAAGGATTTTGATGAAATTTGTTATGGTGATAGCTGGTTATCCGGATCAACATATAGGATACTTTTTACCGCAGAAAAATGGCTCATTTCTGAGAAAAAATGCGAAAATTGCAATGTAAGAGTATACTAATATGTAAAACTTAAGAATTTGGTTTTTAGTCATCTAAACGCGGGCGGAGGCGCGGGCAATGCTAGTTTATATATAAATATACAAGGTTTGCTTATTTCATATAATAATTAGTTTTATACATAAAACACATAGCACAACCGAGTAAAGCAAGGGTAAGCCGCTAGTTTATATTAATGGGAAAGATACTATATATCAATATTATATATTTTCAGGTCTCCCCAGACAACGCGAAGTGCGACGCCCCATCTTAGAATTTCTACTTCGCACTGGCATTTTAAAGCGAGCAACATATCAATACAATACTGTGAATTCCACTGAAAGCTCTAAAGAAACAGATATTATATTAAATTCTATATAAACTAGCTTTAGTTGTTATTTTTAATTTTGTCAAACAGCGCCATCTATTGATTAATTCAGAATTGATTAGAAGGCCATTTGTAAAATGTTGTTAAAAGCAATTTAGCTATTACCCACAAGTACGTACTGGGAAAATAATAAGTATAATTATTATTAATATGGGACTTACAAAAATGTAATCTTCAAATTTTATATCAATAATTAATGTCAAACACATAACTCTCATTTGGGCATCGCCGCAGTTTAGTACAAAAAACTAAAGCGATATCTTTGGCACTAAGTCAAATGAAATGAAACAGCTATGATTTTAATTTAGACCTAAATATACAATTAATGATCTGTTGGCCGATTTTAGCAACGGCAGCCAATCTCACTGACTTTGTACTTCCCAACTCCGGTTTCGGTGTGAAAATTCCGTAAACAGAAAAACCAATAACTGTACTCGGCCCGACTCGGGACTCGAAACCAGGACCTCTGAGTTTATAATTGAACATGCTAGCCACTAGACAGATCACAGAGATAGTAAGAAATTATTATATGTAATTAATTTCATTAAAATTAGTATTATTTCTTCAATTAATGCCAATTGTAAAAACTGAAGTTAGCTTATTGTCTACTAACATTGTCTTAAAAAGGGGTCTGTCTTGTAAATCTCTATCAATGTCTATCTAATGTTTTATTCGGGCCTTGTTAAGGTCCCACTGCTGGGGGTGGGTCTCCCTTCAGTACAAGGGGGATCAGACCATAGTCCGCCGAGCAAGCCAAGTGCGGGCGGACTGAGTATGTCTTTTGAAAACTTGCTAGGTTCTCTCAGATATGCAGGTTTCCTCACGATGTTTTCCTTCACCGTTAAGACAAGTGCTAATCATATTAGAAAATGATTCGCACATGAAAATATCAGAGGTTCATTTCACTCGGATTCCCAAGCGAACGCGTTACCACTGGACTACCACTGCCTATGTGTAATCTTTGTATGTCCATAAGAAACATATTCTTAAGATCGTGAGTTCTATCTTCTAAAATACAAAAATACGCTTCACCCTTCACCGTTTCTTTTTGTTAAAAATAAAACTAATGTCCATTTATTAAATTTTAATTTTTATCAAAAATTTCGACCTTAAACTATTCTGTACATAACATAGTGACCCTTATGGAAGGTTAAAAATAATTCAAAAACTACGCTCTATTACATAGTTTGAAGCAATTATAAAAAGAATTCAAAAATTATTCGTAACTAATGTCAAAGTTTCATCATATTTTGCATATTTTTATGGTAGGTATTGATGTAAAGATGAAAGTATTTAAGCGCTAAAACTTTTATATTTCTATTTTTATAATTTTAAAAAAGATTTAATTAAATGAACTGTTAGTATTATTATTTTACTTATACTGTAATAAAAATAAAATATTTCAATTCAAATCTTTTTATTTTCCTTATCAATTAATTTTACTTTAGTAAAACTTTTTTTTAAACAAAAAGTTTTATCCTTTTGACATTACTTACAAATATATTTTTTAAGTGAGAATATAAATGATCGGCCATTTTGTGATGAATATAAAGACAAAATGGCGGCTACATAGTATAGTATAATGATGGGTTATGTTTAAGCGTTTAGTATATGTTGTATAGAAATATAACAATTTTACATAAAAAATATTACCGCACTATATTATCTATGCTAATGTTATAAAGAGAAAAAAAACCTTTTTTTTCTTTTTGTGTTTTAGTAGAAAAAATAAAAAACGGCTCTACCAATTTTTTTTAACCTATCAAAAGCATACATTATCAGTGAGTAACATGGGCCATATTTTATTTTCAAAAACAAATGCGATCCTCATGAAAATATTAATAATGTAACCCCTAAGATTTAACAAAAAAATGTCTATAATAGTCATTAAATTTTTTAACGCGGTACTAGTTTATATACATAAATAGTTAATGTACAATAACTAAATAGATAAAATTTTATTTGACTTTTTCTTAGCCCTTATAAAGCAATAACATTTGTTGCGCCGTACCGTGTCTGCCAAAATTAATCAAGAATGACACAATGTTTACAAAAATCATGAATAATTAGTAAAGATCTGCGATGAAAAGCTCAATCAGTTAACATTGAGTGTCATTTGACAGTTCTAGAGACCTCACTCTACACTAGCGCCTCTCGCGGTGAATTCAAGCAATATATTACCTAGGAGCGGCATTTCCAAAACTTGCATCATACTGAGAATGTCTACCGCATGACCCTGAAATTAGCGATCTTACTAATATTATAAATGTGAAAGTTTAGATGTTTGGATGTTTGTTACTAAATCACGCCAGAACGGCTGAACGGACCTGGATGAAATTTGGCACAGAAATAGGTTATAGTCTGGAATAGCACATAGGCTACTGTTTATCCCGAAAAAATATACGGTTCCCGTGGGATAATTTGTTTTGTTTTTTTTAGTAATAATATATGTGCGATAATAATTTTTATGACAAAAGATAATATTATAAATATTAAATGTCAGTAAGCCTTTATATACAGCGTGCAATAAATGATTAGTGTAGTTGCAGTTTTTTTTATTCAAATCCTTTTGTTCATACAAAACCTTCATGCTTAAGCTCAGAATAAAAGTGGCCTAGCCCAAAACCAAATAATTAAAAAAAAGCCGTATATACGACAGTCGGGACATTAACACACAGCACCATCTAGTTCCATGGTAAGCTACGAGGCTTGTGTTATGGATAACGGGTAGTTGATACACTACACATATATAATTTTAAATACATACAGATTATAAATATTACAACACCCATGACTGGAGTACAAACATTCGTGCCCATCACACAAATGAATGCCCCAGCGGGACTCGAACCCGCGACCGCTGGCACAGTAAGTAAAGTCATTACAAACCGAGCCAAACATGTCGTTAAATTAACTATTTTAGTATTAACGTTTAGAAATTTCTACGATTAAAGGGTTAGGCCACTTTTACAGCTGATGGAAGTACAAAACAATGTTTTTTTTTAACAACAATATAAACAAATCCATATTTAACTGTCAATTCCGAATTAAATTCCATTTATATGTATACAAGTTAGATAAAAGCAATAAAATATAAAAAATATATACTTAAAAAGCTTAAACACTGATTATAATGCATAAATATAGAAAAAATGTTAATATAGGAAAATAAACGAAAAAAAACGAAAAAAAATACTTCAATAATTGTGTAATATCGTACATATCTATATTATTTATAAAATTAGTCTTTTTCGTAAATGGCATTACAATTTTGAACATTAAATAAAAAAAATATCTACATTCCTAAGTCCTTGCTACATTATTTAAAAAAATAATGACATCTGTCAAAAATATTCTGTATCTGTCAAAAAATATTACACGATATCAACTAAAAATCCTTAAATTACCGTTAAGCTATTACATACAGTGCTTTTCACAAGTTCAAACGTAACGTACATACAGATAAAAAATACATAATAAAAACACACAATATATTTTTGACAGCTGTCAAAAATCTCACATTCTAAGTTTTTTTTATTAACACGTCAAAATTTCAACCATTCCTGGTATTTTAGGTTAAAATCGACGCCAAATCTTGAGCCGATTTGAAATACCGTAATAGATATCTCTCATGCCGACTCTTTCATGTACAGAGTGTGTCAAAATAAACATAAAATATTAAAAAAATATACATATAATCGAAAAAAAGTTTTCAAGCATAATCAAAGTATGGAAAAGAATGTTTTTAAAAGTATTAAAAGCCTATAAAAGAATTAAACACTTTCAACACACTCTATACAAATTATACAACGAAAGTGAGGCACTATCCGAGAGATATCATACGTCTAATAACTCCTATATCATAATAACCATATAACATTACAACCATTTATTAATCGTAAAAACCGTTATTTAACCATTAATTTAATATTTAACAGTTTATTATCTAAATCAAACGATATATTGTGACGAATCGAGACCCTTATTATAAATACATTGACTTATGGACGTTAATTTCATATACAATTTTAGGTCAAAGCTGACAACACTCGAACAAAAATGACAAAGGAAGCGTATCACAAGGTCTCATTTTCGCCTCAGAATAACAAAAAATGTCTCATTTTCGACGAAATGTTAGACCGGTTACCAGTTAGACCAAAGTTTGGCGTCTTACAAGTAATTTTCATTGAAGTGTTTTTTTCTCATAAATATATTATTTTATCAGGCATACAGTCTACTTTCAGAATATGTAAAGAAAAGATCATTATTATCGAATGACATTTTTTTTTCTTTATTCTGGGGTAAAAATAAGGCCTTATCGATACGCTTCCTTAATCATTCATTTATCATACAAACATTCATAAAAAAACATTCATTCATAAAATTATAGTAACCAGAAAATTTACAAAACGTGTAGTTTTATTGATATTGTTAATATTTTTAAAGTGACAAACATACATACATGTTATTAACAATAACATTAGTTTAGATATTTCTCATTATTTTCCGGGTTAGCAACATTTTTCTCATTTTGTCTAAAATTAATAATTCTAATTACTTATGCTGGTGTTATTAAAAATGCTAATAAAATTTGTATGGAAATAATAAAAAAAAATAACAAATTTTAACATTTATTCGCACTCTATATAAAAACAATTTTATATTAATTTATTTATAGATTTTAGACGTTATTATTGAAATGATTTGAATTCACAATTGCTAGAATGTTATGAAGATGATTTATTTACATTGAATGTGCACAATATTACACCGGTACAAAGAAATTTATAATCTGTTTATTTTTTATAATATAAAAATCGATTTGTCCTAATGAAATTAAAATCCATGTAATTCCATTATCCTTGAAAGTAACTTTTCGTATACATAATTTTAGTAAAATATTTTATTTTTAAAGTAAAACTTGTTTAGGCGTGACTGAGAAGTAAGTCAATATATTGGAAACCTGAGTGTAGCGAAAGTGAGAGTCAAATTTATAATTGATAATTTTAAAAAAGTTATTTTCAATTATTATTATAAAAATGAATATTTATAAAAAAAATATTATATTCAATTTGTTAAAAATTATAATGTAATTGCGGTATGCCACAGCGCCATAGAAGTTTCACTTCAAGCGCACATAATTTTTTTTAATTTTACTCTACACTCTGTCTTGTATTTGAATAATAAACAGATTATAAATTCATTGTATATTTTCATAAGGATTATTTTTTTACATTACATACATATGGATTATCAATTATGAAAATGTCACTCATGAATACATTATATAAAATTGCTAAGCCAATTATGATTAAATTAATATCAATAGGATTAGAAAGAAAAAATATTTTACTTTTGAAAAAAACATTACTATTTCATGGTCAATTATTAATTTTATTTTGACATTACACATGACAGTAAAAAACATGTTCATCTTAAGTTTTTTTTTTCAAAATTCTAAACCTACATTTCCAAACAACAAATTACTACAAACAGACCAATTGACACATCCATACTTACGTATATAGATTAAATTCACAACATCTAAAATACAATTTACATTTAACATTTTGGTTAACTATGGAATGAAGTTTCACGAAAAAACTAGTTTTTAAACAAAAAACAATTCCTTCACAAAAAAATACAAAAAAACTTAAAAAAATCCATTCATAATTCTTTTTTTGACAAACACTTCTAAGTAATTTCTCAATTCCATACTACACTTTTATTTTTTTTAATTACACTTATTCAATGACTTTTTCAATATAGTTCCAAAACAAACATGGCAATATAATATACAGCTTTTTTAAATATGTGCGAATAGAATATTTAAAACCATATTGAAAAAAAGAAAAATACGATAACATTTTCTGTACTAGTAATAAATGCCTTGGTATTATGGGTTCTCAATTCGGGCCGTTCTCAAACTCAAGGGACGTTAGTATCCCATATTAAATTTTAAAAAACCACCCATATAACTGCAAAAATTACTTTCAATATTTCCAAATAGGTACACTTTAGAGGTTATGTTTCATTTCACTTCCACATCGCTTACTTAAGAGACTGTCACTTTAACACTTTTGCTTAACACTTTCACTTCGGTTTAAATTCCACTTGTTCGTACAACACTTTATTATTTCCATCAACTGTCTTCCCGAGTGTTAGGGGGTAGACTTTGGGGGCTCTGAGAGAACTGATTCACCATCTTACTCTGCATCATGTTGAGGAGGATATCCGAGTACTGCTCAATAAGAGACATTGCAGGATTGGGCGGTGACTCTAAAAGAAGAAATTGTATGGATTTTAATTTTAGATCCCATTAATATTATACATGCGAAAGTTTGGATGGATGGACGTTTGTTACTCAATCATGCCCTAACGGCTGAACGGATCTGGATGAAAGTTAGCACAGAGATAGATTATAGTCTGGAATAGCACATAGGTTACTTTTTGTCCCGAAAAAATAAATAGTTTCCGTGGAATTTATTTTTGTCTAAGGACGAACCGGAAACAAAGCGAGGGTGAGTCGCTAGTCTTCTATATAAGGACCACCTATTGCGGTAAAAGCCTCCTCCATTTTTTTCCATTTGTTTCGAACTCTAACTCCACGTTTTTCCGATTATTTATATTAAGTCACTACTCCATCGTTTGTAAGGACTGCCTTGTTTATATTTACACGGGCACGAAAACCCGTTGAATTTTTAAACCGGATTTGGTCATTGACCCCGAACCGAAAAACTTTTCGGTTTAAAGTTTCGGTTACGTTCTTTAACCGGTTAAATCCCGGAGAGCGGTTTTCGACGAATTTGGGTTCCATTATCAAAAATAACCGGTCAAAATGAGTTTGAAAATGGTGAATTTTTGCTAATGATGAATTGCTAAGTAGAATGATACATGTACATTTCTTACTTATAAATAAATTAACCGGTTCATTTCGGTATCAAAACCTAAGTCTAACCTTAACCCTTAAGAATAACCGTTAACATTACACATTACTATTTCGGTTTACTAAACCGTTCGTTTTCATTAACCGGTTAAAAAACGAGCAATGAATTAATAACCATTAAAACCGTTGTTTTTTAAACCAGTTTACAACATACCCAATATTAAAGAAGGAGGTTATAATTTACCTTTGGGCGTCACGTGCTCGCCCGCCCTCTCCTGCACCAGCGGGAAGTCCCCCGCGCTCTTCAACACTTTCTGCGTTTGCAATATTGCAGCTTCTAATCCTGGAAATGTTTTAAATGTTTTTATAATACAATGTTAGTAATAAAATAATAAATAAACTATGTAATCTCACTCAAATCTTTTTGGGAGATATTATACGTGCACTCTCTATTACATTCGATTTTAAAGTCTAATGAGACTATACTTCATCACGACTGATGAAAAAAATTAGACGCAGCGATCTAAGGTTTTTTGGTAGAAAACCCCAATAACTACGTTTGGCCAAATCCGAGACTCGAACCTGGGACCTTTCGAACTGCAACCGTATATGCTAGCTTCTACACAACGAAGTAATTCAGAGAACACTTATCAATGAAAGAAAAAAAGTTGGTTTTATTTTGATTTTTGGTTCCCGTAATTTTGTATGTTATACAAAAAACATAATAAAATCTCGACACAAACCAAGAAAAGTTGTTACATTTATAAAGTCAAATAATTAGGTGAATCTCTTACATTGTGTGATCTTCTCCATTCTACGTGACATTAGCAACGTAATCTGTGCTCAACTGACACGCTTTGGAGACATTACTTAACAAGAGAATTGAATTGCATTGAATTGAATTAGATTGTGTGAACACTCACCAACAATATCGTCCGTACAGTCCGGATCGCTTTGCAATTTCCTGTACAGTTGGACGACTTTGCTCGCTGTTTTCGTCAGCTGTTCCGTCAGCGCCGAACATAGCTGTGATGATGTTACTGGTGGAGAAAAAAATATTATTAATGTCAAAATGTGACAGTTTGTATATAATATGTATGTATGTATATGTGTGTGTATGTTTGTCACCGTTTTATGGTAATATAGCAGAACGAATTTGAATAAAATTTAGTACACTGATAGCAATTATTCAATATTTCTTAATACTAACTTATTCTTTGGTTTGACTTAACGTCACATGTCGACGCCACTTTTTGAAGAGATATTTGTTAGGAAATGTGTATCGATGTTTTTATATATCAATTAGCGACTCACCCTCGCTTCGCTCGTGTTCGTCCCTAGGTACGTTTTAACGGTTAGTATGGAATATAAATCTTTGAATTTCTCGGCTTTTCTGTACTATAATATGCATGTATTATAAAAACCTTCCTCTTGAATCACTCTATCTACTAAAAAAACGCATCAAAATTCGTTGCGTAGTTTTAAAGATCTAAGCATATATAGGGACAGACAGACAGCGGTACAACTTTGTTTTATACTATGTAGTGATGGTCTGAAATATACACACAGTTACTATCCCCCGTCGTCTCCTGTTTCGTCTGTCTCTGCCTGGTGTTGGCAGTGAGCCGCGCCGTGACTTCTCTCGCCTTCGCCGATATATCTCGCTCGCTGCCGCTGCGCCCTGGAATGAGACATGGAAATAGTCAAGCGTGAGTTGTCTTTACACAATGGTCCTTAACACACCAAGGCTCCTTGTATTGAAGGGAAGTTCCAGCAGTGGGATACTGAACTGAGCTAAATTTGTAGAGAATTATATGATGATTGATATTTTCGTATCGATTTCATGCAGAAAACTATAAGTAAAATAAACTATATTCTGCACTTTTTTTAGATTTTTGTAAGTTTAGAAGTTTTTTATTTATTTAATAGCATATAATTACAATTTTAAAATATATAGGAAGTATATTTCTATTCCTTACAAAAATTTGGCATGTAATTAATGATTTTCTAATTTTCTAGGATATCTAACTACTCGTACGTACATGGCCATCTCTAATAATAAAAATAAAAACGGAACTAACAACTAAAAAAGAAAATAACAGACGGACAAACATACAAATGATTTTTTTTCCTTTTAAGATAACACAACCCTAGATATCAAATTTTACCACTATAAACGAAAAAAATGTATGTATTTATGTGTATATGTTTATTAATCTTTCGCATTGAAACGACTGATCTGATTTAGATGACATTTAGTACTTAGACAATTTCCACAAAAGTAATATAAAGACACCTAAGTTTCTATCCTATTAAAGTCAAGCGCGAGTCGCAATGCTGTCATATACGGGTGTTTTTATCCTTACGGGTGTGTGTTTTTTTTTATTTATTTGAGTAATTCTAACAACCACAGACATAATATGTCCGTGCCTTTTTTTTGAGCATTTTTATATTTTGTTGTTATTTTTATTTTATTTCATTTGAAATGGATTCATTCGTGCATGTACAATTTTAGAATACAAAGATTTTACGAACAAATGAGAAAATCTAAACAAAACTATGGGGTCGGGTGGGCTTTAAGAGTCCACCCAAATGAGGTTAGAGTATTATACACGCATACGGGTGTTCTCACCCGTATACACTCACCCAATCTCCTCTGAGCCCTGTCGACGGAGGCGGCGCGCGGCCGCTGCGTGTCTTCCGTCTCCGAGCTTGATTCGGAGCGAGCTGTGGAAACGTGCATATTGCAGGTGTTATTATGCGTGCTTGTTAGTCACTTGGTGGGCTAACATTAATCATTTACTTGGTGAACTATCATTTTAATAATTGTCTGACTAGATTAGAGCCTAAAATAGCCCTAGGATATACAAAAGATTTTTCAAATTCAAGAATAAAGTAAATGCAAGTTTTTCATAAAAAATGTTTTTTTTTTATTATTACATTTTACATTTATGATTACATTTTACGTTATCGTAAATATATGGACTTATTTTTTTTGTTAAAAGACATTATTAAAAATTCAGTCACACCAAAAAAAATCAGTTACTGAAGCTAACTATGAAAGTTATATTTTTTTAAATACCTACATATTGAGAGGAGAGATAAATGCGCTTAATTTCAAAGCAAATAATATGTAAAATCTTGATACAGTGCTATACTAAAAATTATAGTTCTAGAAATAGTTACAAGACACTAAAATTTACTTGGAACGGGAATCGAACCGCCAAAAAGCTTGACTCTACGAACTTCATTGAAAGTTTAGTCTACCGTCTGTTATCTACTAAATTAGATCTACTGTGGGCATTATTTTCTAAATGTCAGTGATATTTTTTGGAACCTTGCAAATTGTTTAAATTTTTAAAGGCCTTTAAAATAAATTAAAAGAAAACATTTTCATAAAAAAAATTGTCCCAATATATGCATGTTTCTTAAAAAATATTATACAACGATTTGAATGGTGTTTTATATAATTATAAATAGACCATATCCTCCCCCCCCCCCCTCAATCCCCAATAACAGAACAATCGACTCCCTCCCCCCTCCACTCTTCCTCCATCTAATATTAAAACTTGAATAGCAAAACTTAAAATCTAACCAAAGGGCCAGACCAATAAGTCTAAACCTAACTTCAGACATATTAACATACCCTGTGTATAGTTATTGGACGTGACATTCCTCCGGCGGACGGTGTTGGCGGCCGCCTTGTTCGCCGACGATATGGTGGGCCGCATGAGCCCCTGCGCGCGGGGCAGTTGGCGCGGTGGTTGAGGGTCCGATTCGGAGTCACTCTGGAAAATTTAAACATATATTCTTTACATCTGACAGGCTATATATGTAAACTGGCGACTTAAGCTCACTTCGCTTGGGTGCGTGCCATGACGTATTTCTTTATACAGGTATACCTTCTTACACAGACATCAGTAGCAGTGGTAGCCCAGTGGTACACGGTCGCTTGTTAAACCGAGTGAAGCTTTCATGTGTTCACACGTTTGGCTCAGTTTATAGTGAACCTATTTACTGTGCCAGCGATCGCGGGTTCGAGTCCCGTTGGGGGCATTCATTTGTGTGATGAGCACGAATGTTTGTACTCAAATATGTATTGTCTGTAATATGTATTTATTTAAAGTTATATATGTGTAGTGCATCAACTATCTGGTATTCATAACACAAGCCTCGTAGCTTACCATGGAACTAGATGGTGCTGTGTGTTAATGTCCAAACATACTTATTTAAATGCATTTAATAAAGAGCTGTTACTTTGATTGGACATTACAAACAGACACTTCAATTTTATATAGATTATGTAAGTTTGACACATCTTGTATACATACATATATACATATATAATGTAACTTGGTAAATGTATGTGAATAAATAAATAATTATTATTATTATTAACAAAAAAAGAAAAAAGCTCACCTGATTATTCAAAACTCCAACACTAGAACTCCTTGTCATGTTAGACTTAGTGTTGTACCGCGGCGCCGGCCGCACGAAGCCGCTGGGCGATTTCGTAGTGTTCGCATTGTTTTGCTGTGCCGGTTTTGATGGGGCTGTACATATTATATAAACGTTAGATAACCACTTTGGCGTGATCGTCACTCCATACCAATCCTTTTTATTACAGGTTTGGAAATGTATCAGGATAGAAGTATTATAGAAGGACACGTAGATGAAAAGAAATTCGTGTATAAAATATAAAAAATAAGGAAAACATTAAAATATGACTTGATTTTATTGAGACTATAATAAATAAATGATCAAAAATAAAATCGATTTTATTACCAATCAAACCAAAAATACAAAAATATCTATGTACATACATATTTGTGGTTTTTTAGACATTTGAACATTTTCATGGCAAAAAAAAATGAAACTTTTTTCATTAAGTAAAAAAAAAAATAAACTTGCCAGGGTAGTCTACAGGGAATAGACGATAACCCAAGCTTCATCATTATAATAATTTGGTTTGTACTGTAAAGCAATATTGAGTGTCGTTTATAAAAAAACATCGTAACAGTTAAAAAACCTGGTAAAAAAAAACTCCAATAAGAACGTCCCAATTATAAAATAAACATTAAATTCGCTAATCGGATTAATTAGAGCATTTGTTAGTAAAAAAACAAGAAAGTTAAACAATACAAGCATGCCAATATTTTAAAAGTTCTAAATATTTTACATAGTAACGATGTAAATAGTCTTTAATTGACTAATTTTTTTTCTTCGTATCACGAGACTTAGACAGATGACATGACAATCGTTATTATTCTTAGATTTGAATTGCATTGAATTGAATTAAAACAAATGGGTAATTGATAAAAAAAAAAACTAAAATAATTTGTCAAAACACACTACGGGACTTAAACGCGGTGAATTCGTAAATGGCTAACCTTATTCGCAGTGTAGCCAACTTAGGGCCTTTTCCCCCAAATTTAGGGGTAAAAAAATTGCATATTTAGTGTTTTTAAGGGATTTATAAAGTTTTATTTAAAGACTTGGAAAAATCACATGCTTATCTTTTAATATCATTTGCATCATTTTTCCCTTTTTTATTATTTTCAAAGTTATCTATGGATTTTTTTATTATTATTAAATGGTTATATATAATGATTATAATAATGACCATAAATAAGTTTCTTACGCTACTTGTAATCACCTTAAATAAAATATATATATTTTTTTAAAGATTTGTCAGTTAGCGGATTTTAGGGGTTTTTGAAATTACTCTTAGTGTGATAAAATATTCATGTGTTAGCATCACTGCTTATTCCCCACGTTTCGACTGAATCGCACAGCCGTGGTCACGGGCAGATCCAGTCGAAACGTCGGGAATAAGGTATTTAGCCACTTACGAATTCACACGTTATGGTCCCGTAGTGTACGTTATTACATAATTTGTCATATGTATATAATTTTTAACAATCTATTCGTAAGAATGCCATCTCATCTAAGCCCGGAGTTTTATAAACATTTTTAATTGGAATAGATAAAACAGTTAAAACACCAAGTACCTACACCAAAAGATAAAGTAAGAGAGACGATATGAAATTCTCAAATATTTTTAATTATCAATTAATTTTTGAAATAATTTTACTATTATTTTTATCCTCAAAAAAAACTGTTCTTAAATCATGCAAATAAATCACCATATTCCCCAAACATAACTGCTAAAAAGAACTACCAATATACCAAATCTTGGTTAAATTACTCCCATTTTACATTAACCGATAATCGAACCCGCCACCATTAAACCTACCTTGTGGCGCTCTAGGGGCCGGCACAGGCTTCGCTGCGAGGTCCGAGAGAGATATCGCACGCCTCATGCCATTATCCTCGGGCTCGGAGGACAGGTTTCGCGCTGTCATACGTACGACGTTAAAACATGCAGATCGACCACCGCGCTTCATCAAACTGGACATTTCTTTCTTAGATTTATGCGATTTTTGTAAATAAAACTATTTTTTGGACGTTTTCTAGGTTTCATTTTGATTCCAGGATATTCGAATGTATTACAGTAATCATGGACGCGGGAGAGATGAAAGCAGAAATGAAAAGAAAACCGCCGAAATATTCCAAAAATAGTTTTATTTAAATGATCATTTTTCTAATTTATCCACTATTCGAGATATACATCTAAGACATGTTTAGAAATGTATACAGTTTGATCAAACCAGGAGAGTAACAAAAGCTTCAAATATAAATATACATACACATTACATTATAACAACCGTGCAGTGATATTATTAATATACAAAAATAAAATAACATGCCGATATCGCAAAAATAATCGCAAAAATGAAGCCATGATTTGTGATGCGTTGTGAAGTTTAAGACTGACCAATTCAACGAGATTCCTCACAAAATATCACAAATGGTAAAGCTTTCCCTAAATCTATGGGACCAAAGAAAGATCTAGAATGGAAGCGCAAATCAAAAGGACCGTCACGACATCTAAGTCCATGCTCCCACCTGGTAATGGTGAAAATTTCGACGGCAGAACTGGTGTTATTGGCGACTTTCTCATTAAGCCTCTTACGCTATTCCCCGAATTCAGAACTGGCCTAACTCTACCAGAGTTCACGTGTTGATTGTCCATGGACATTCTGGGTGCGGGTGCCCGCATTATTTTCCGAAAGGGAGTTTTTGGTCTATTGAATCCATAGATTGACATTCTTTTAGGAGAATTCGTGCAACTAGAACTAGTGGTAGAAGATTCATAGTTTTCACTATCTAAATGTACGTCTGTTTTAGGTATAACCATTTCATTGTAAACTCTTTGTGGCAGTGATTTTGATGGTTTCACTATGTTTTGAAATGTGTTGTTTAACTTCGCTGGCTCAGTTTCCTCTACTTCCATAAGTTCATTTCCAGCATCATTGGACACGTCTACTCCTTCAACTGTTAGACCGATTTGGTCCGTATCTAGTATATCGGGTAGACTTAAATTTCGCTTAATTTCCTTGTTATCTGAGTTTTCAGTATCCGTATCTGCTTCTTCTAATGTTAGCGAAGCAAAATTAGGGACCGTGCTTTGTTTTGTGGCTAACTTCTCAAATTTTCTTGATAACACTTTTACGACACCTTTACCGTCATTTATATTAGCTTTCAACGGTCTCATACGATATTCCTTTAGTATTTTTTCTTGTAATATCTTTCTCTCCTCCATTTCTACCAATTTGTTTATTATTTCTAACTTTCTTTCGATGTATTTATATTTTTTAACTTCATCGCTATCGTCAGGAGCAATATTTTCCTTGGCTTCATTATTGTGGCCGCTATGACAGGGCATATCTAATTCGTGTTTCGCAAACTTAAGATTCCTTTGATCTTTCATTGTTTTGCTGTAAAATTTGGTTTTCTGATCAGCGTAATAGTCTAAAGAATCTTTTGTAAAGTCATGGTTATCTTCGATAACGTCTAATGAATCCATGCTTACATGTTTCATCCTTTCAATTCTTTGCATCGCAAACACCTCAAGGCTATCCATTTGAATTTCAGATCTATTTTCATTTACATCTTTTTCTTTCACGAATACATCGAATGTTTTCTCCGAATTATCAGGAGTTTCTTCTAGATTAGAATTTTTATCTTCGTTTTTTCGATTGGAAATATAATTCTTATTGTGCAATCCATCTAATTTGGCTTTATATTGAGAAGATATAGAGGAACTAAGAGTAGATTTGTCTAAACCAGCTTTAAGCCTATTGTTAAGTTTAATGGAAGACGTTCTTTTAATAGGTTTTGGCGGTTTGTGAGGTACAAATTCCATAGATATTTTAACGTTATTATTCTTTTGTCCTGAATCTCTTTCAAGACTTTTTGTAGCATTGTTATATTTAGCAACATTTGCTTTTTCCTTGTTCAATTGATTCTTACTAGTTTTGCTTTGAGTGTTCTTTCTTATTTGTTCTTCGAATTTTTCTAGATTTTTCTTTACATGCGATCGTTTCTCCATCAGATTTTTCAATGGATTAGGCTTAGATGCCGGTTCCAAAACTACTTCAAAACTGCAACTCTTCGATTTCACCATTGCATTAGACTGCTCACATCCTTCCATTTCACTTTTATATTTATGTTTATCTGCAAATTTTGGTTGTAAAGATTTACTAGTATTCGCCATGTAATCTCCTGCACTCAACCGAGGTATTTCATCTCTTTGTTTCTTTTCTTTATTATATTGTTGTATATTATTTCCATCAAAATAGTATGCTATATTTTTAGCCGGAGGCGGCTGCTTTGTCGATGAATCATATAAACTCTTAGATCTTGTGACCGTTTTGTGTCCAGAAAATTCTCCTGTAGGTATATCGAACCCATAGACTTTCTGCACAGGAGGTTTAGGACTGGCTACCACTGGCACTTGATCTTTATAATCTGTTCGAGGACTAGAGCTTTCGCCAAAATAATTATTATACATATACCCACTAAAGTGTGGAACGTTATTAGGACTTGAGCCATAACTTTTCGACGTATTATCAAAATCATAACAGCTCTGGCTATTTGGTACTCCAGGCTTTTTCGGGCGTGATCTAGCACCTTCAAATAACATTTCCAACGGCGCACTTTTAGTACATTCAGAGTCATCTGACAGAACGCTTTCTAGTGAGTTGCAATTTGTACGTGATAATTGATTATCGTTATCTAAATATTCGTCCGATAACACCGACTCTTGGCTACAGCTAGATTTCATGTATTTCTTCTGGTTCAAAAAGAAACTAGCACTACTATGTCTATGGTTCTCCAGATATCTCATATCCGGTTCGTTTATATTTTCAAAAGAGCAATTTTGCGAATCATTCAAATTGTATCGACTATCTGTAAACTTCGCCTGTTGGAATGCAACCTCATTGCCATATTTCAGGAATATTTCATTAGAAACGCTCGAACAATTCGAGTGATCACTCAAAACTGACTCATTTGATCGCGTAACACATCTTTTTGTTAGTACACTTTGACATCTGTACATTGCATAACTTGGATTCATATCTTCATCGATGATATCGTCTAAATTAGACGGCATATTACGAGGTAGGGTGGAACTTTTTTGTGTCACACACAATGTAGGTTTCATTGGAATGGCAGGTTTATCGTACGTTCCTCCGTAAATTTCATAGTTGGATATTGAACGCCGCGGCATACTACTAGTCTTATTATGCTTTTTGCATACTTTCTTTGAATACAATTTGTTTTTGCAACTAACGTCTTGACTTAAGCTACAATCCTCTAAAGAATCCGATGAGAAGTTACCATCGTCTTTCTCTTCAACTTCTTTAGTCGGCTGCAAATCTAAATCACTTTGTGGGTTTGGTTCAAACTCGTCTAGATCTCCATATTTTTTTGTTATTTCAGCTATCATTTTCTCCGTATCGCTTTTGATTGTATCCACTATATTTCTACTATCTTTGATCTTACTGTCGAGCCCAACGAAGAAACTTAGCGAATTACGTTTTCTAGTGTCAACATTTTGTCTGGGTTTTTCAGCTTTTTCGTTATTACTTTGATTCTGTGCAACTTTATCTGCCCATTTACACTCTTCTGATACAGGCGACACTGGACAAGACTTATAGTTCTTAAATATACTCCTAGCATTAGGTTTAGGCGTTTTAGGCTGAGGTTTTTCATTGAGATTCAAATGGAAGTTTCTAGGCGGTAATTTTGGCGGTTCTTTTTCCTCGCACGCGGTCGGAAACAATCGATTAAAAACTTTTGACACCGGCTTTTTATTCATATCAACTGTGAAAGCTAAATTTTGTTTCTGAGGTATATTTTCTTTGAATACCACCGGCTTAGATGTTGGTGGTAAATTAATTATTCTCTTTGGATTGTGACTAGGTTCCATATTGACCCTAGGAGGTATATATGGGGGTGTATTATCATAATACTCTGGTAAAATTTTATGGTTCAAATTTGCGGGAATGGCGTAAGGGTTTTTGTTGCGAAAGTCTAAATTCATATTTTGATAGTTTAAGCTGTCAAAATAGTTAGTGTTAAGACTGTCTAGACCTTCTTCGGGACATATGGGTGGGTTAGAGAATCCTGGTCAGCATTAAAGGAACAAATTCTGTTAGTAAATATATCATGATGAATGTATGTATGGTTTACAGCAATTTTTAAAGACTTGGCTAATCAAAATCTGCAATAACCGACATTTTGTCAAATACATAAAAAAATGGATTGTTTCATTTTATTTTCTCTATAATTAGCCTCGTCATTATAGAAAATAAATAACATTATTTTTTGTTATATATTTTCTTTGAAGCCAAGCGCAGATATATTTTATATGCACTTTTGTGAGTGACAAATATCAGTTTTCAGTTTGTTAAATAATGAAATACGATATGAAATGTAATTTTTAAGACCTTTACTAATATCGTAGAACATATTAAAAAAATATTATAGTAAATTTGTAATAATTAGGCCACTGTTCACAAAGCTGGCCACGTAAGAGTTCAAATACGAGTACAAATCTTTAATTCTAATTTAAGAAATAAAACCTATTTAAATTCCATTATAATATTATAAATTCGAAAGTTTGGATGCATGTTTGTTACTCAAGTACGCCAGAACGGCTGAACAGATCTCAATGAAATTTGGCACAGAGATTTATTATAGTCTGGAATAGCACATAGGTTACAGGTTACACTAGGTTTTTTATCCCGGAAATACGTACGGTTCTCGTGGGATTTAAATTTGTTTTGGTTTTTAACTAGGGACGAACCCGAAACAAAGCGATAGTGAGTCGCTAGTTATACATAAAGATCTTAAAAACCCATTACAATCTGACGAACCAAAAACAACAAAGAAAATCTTACCGTAATTTCTCGAATTACTCGGCACAGCCATAGACAACGGTCTGTTTCTCCTAGAACCTTCTTTCTCCGGTATGTACGATAAGTCTGTAGTCGATTGACTCGATTTCAGGTTAGACCGGAATGCCACCTGGAATTTGTATACGTATATTACACGTTTTAATTTATTTGAGCGGAACCCTAATTCTTTTTCTAAAATAAGTTTTTATGGCATCAGCTATCTGCCAGTGAAAACCCCGTCAGGATTAGTCCAATCGTTTCAGAGATTAGTCGTAAATAGACAGACAAACATTTTAATAGTGTTTTTCTGTACATATTGCATATTATGCATTTAATAAAAAGCCATTACTTTGACATTAAATACACTTCAATTTTATTTATCTAAAGGGCGTTTGTTATTTCATCACACTGTCATGACTTGAGTGAAATTATAAAGGAGAAAAAGTAAAAAAAATATATTAACATAACTACGACGCGAACGAAGTCGCTCGAAAAAAACTAAGTATAAAACATATTTTTTGCCAAAAAGGCTCAAATTCGATTCTCGCGTGAATCAAATGTATTGCTATTTTTGTTTTATTAACATAAAATTGAAAATAACCTATAATTTTTTATACAGAATGATGATAAATTTAACTTGTAAATCATTCTCCACTCACTCCTATATATCTCTACACTCTCCTATACTCTTCTATACATGGTCTACAAACGAAATGTGCAAAATCACATTTTGACTAACAACAAACCCATCAATACTTTCACATAAACAGAGAAAGAGAGAGAAAAGAGAAAGCGAGACAACTAACACTCTCGAGCTGGCGCCTGGTCTCGAGGATCCTCCGCTGCAGCTCCTCGCGGCGGCGCGCGGCGTCGGGGTCGCGCGCGGCGGGCGCGGCGGGGGCGGCGGGCGCGCGCGCCTGCGACAGGTGCTGCGCCGACAGTGACGTCGTGTTCCCTGTTCCTAGTATATTATTCATTTTAATTATGTGTACGTCAAACTACATTAATTTGCTATTTTCATTCTTACACATATAATAATAAATGAAAAATATATTAATCCCTCCACGACCGCGGACACGCCGGTGTGTCAGTTAACAATAGATTTCTAAGAAAAATTTTTAATTTCTTAGAAATTTACCTGAAGATGCTATCTAACTAAAAAGACAAAAACAAAATATTTTTTGGAAAATCTTATTGAGATAGACATTATTATCGATAAATAGACCAAATCTATAGTTTTTTGAATATTTTTCTGTCTGTCTGTCTATCTGGGAATGTATCACGAGAAAACCACTGGACAGATTTTGATGAAATTTGGTACGACGATACTTACTACTATTACTACTACTATGATACTTTTTACTGCGGGAAAGTATCTCATCTCTGAGAAATCTATACTAAACGTTATTATATTAGCGTAATTATTGCTCTCATTTATTACCTTAAATGGTACATTTTTGATAATATTTCAATAATGTCACTTTGAAAAACAAATTATTAAGAAACAGTTAAAATAAATAAAATCAGAATCTTAACAGAATTCGAGTATCTACCTCATTGTGTACCTATTAAAAAAAATGACTATACAAAAAAAAACATTTTTTTAATCTAACCTGGTGTAGGTGCATCCATGTCAGGGTTGCCACTTAAACTGTCGAATGCTGATTTTATATAGCTCTGTCGAATACTCCTCTCTAACGACTCGCAAGACCCGGATAGTGGGTTCCTATCCGCATTGTCACCAGACGGTGTTGATACCTGAAAAATAGAACATTTCTCACTTTACCCGGTAAATTTTGAGGTTTCTATTTACAATGGAGTTAAATATAATTAATAAGGTAAAGGGCTGAATACAATAAGGTAAAGAAGTGATCTTATAAGGATTTCTTTTTTCCTTTTGAGTTATGGAGCCCATAAAGAGATATTATTTATTTGTGATCGACTTGGTGTCAAACTGAGTACCCCGTCCTTTTTGAACAGTTTAAATCGATGTGACAGTTAGAAATAAATTAATATCGGTTTCAAATTTTATATTATACAGTAAATTAAAAAAAAAATAAAAGAAAACCTTAGGAGTAATAAGTAGAGTAAAATTGTATGTATGTAGTATGGGAAAATGACGAGGGAAGCAAATCGTATACACCATAAAAGGTATAGATAGGTCATAATATAGAGAAATGGGATTGGAAACGATAAAGATAAGAAGTTAGACACGTCGTCTCAGTGCTTATTTGTTCAAACGACCAATTCACCGAAAGAGTTTCTAATACAGAATATTTACTTTTAAATGTCAATTGTATTGTTATATTATGTATACATATTTAAAAAAAAATGATATATATATACAATAGAAATAGTACAAGTACCTCATCCTCGTCGGAGTCGTGCGGCGAGCCGCTGAGGTCGGCGGGCGCGGGCGCGCGGCGCCGCACCGAGCGCCGCAGCTCCGCCGCGTCCATCGCGTTCACCAGGAACTCGCTGCGCGCACATACACACACATTCATATAAATATATATGTCGGGACATTAACACACAGCACCATCTACTTCCATGGTAAGCTACGAGGCCCGATAGTTGATACACTACACACATATATCTTTAAATACATACATTTTATAAAAATAAACCATGACTGGAGTACAAACATTCGTGCTCATCATCACAAATGAATGTCCCCAGCGGGACTCGAACCCGCGACCGCTGACACAGCAAGTCCCTACAGACTGGGCCAAACGTGTCGTCTTATTTGACTGCCTTGATTATCTAATGATTTGTAGTTGGCAGTCGCGGGTTCGTATGACGAATTCCCTAACGTCTAACCAGAATCAAACAATATTAATATCTTAATTTCGTCTATTACCATCTATCATTAAACATTTTTTTAAGACAAAATAACACTTAGTTTAATTTTAATTAATTAAATTCATTGTCATTTTTAAACCCATAGAAAGTGTGAGCAAAGCCCCAATATTCACAATTCACCTCTACTTATGCATACATAGTTTAATCACAGTATAAAAACCTATATGGTAGGATGATCTTTTTCCAAAATAGATATTTTATGATATCAAAAGTACCAATTTTTAGCGGACGAAATCCATTTTTTTTTCTAACCGAACTAAATATTATTGATAATATCCAAAAAAAACATTACATACAAAAAAAACTAGGTAAAAAAAAGCCAAGTTGTCTCAAGTTACAAATATACATTCACAAACCTAGGCGTATCGTCATCATTATTCCCAGGATAATACGTGGGCCGGTTCCCTCTCTCCGACGACGACGTCCTCTCTCCGTCCGATATATCTTCTATGTCGCCGTCGTGCTCTGTTGACTCTTGGTCCTGGAAAAAAAACATTTCGTATATACATATATCATAACGTACATACATACATTTAAAAATACACCTAAATTACTTAATAGTAGTGCCTTGTATTCAATGAATAATAAATTTCAATTAAATCTTAACAATGCTGGTAAATATCATATACAAACAAACATATATTTTTTTATCAATGGCAATTGTAACCTGTTAAAAAAAATACAGATAGGTTTAATTAGTAAAAAAAAATGAGTCACAAAACATAACATAAACATATATAAAGAAAAATAGAAATAAAAAAAATAAAAAAATCTAACCTCAAACTTAAAACTTCCGAGTGAAGAATCATCTGTATGGTGTCGCGTTCGAGCGTCCAACATTCGATTTTTCGATAAATTAACCGTGACCTAATTCATAAAACAATTATAAATGCAAATTATTTAAAAAAAATTAAAGAAAAAAAACAAAAGTGCAAAATGATAAGCGTGACAGAGAAGCCAAAGCGGTGATGTATGCTAAACCTTACTTTCAATTCATAATATAAAAAAAATGCCCTTTTACCAATTAAAGTGTTAATTTATTACATAATTTTATTTGAACCAGTTAACAAAGATGTTAAAAAATTAATTACTTTACTTAATTAAATTAAATAAACAAATCAGATTAATTTTTTTATGTTTTTTTTAAATAAACTGTTAGTAACATTAACCTACAATTAATACCCCAATCACCAATTTTAAAACTTTAATACAATCACCTTATAATTATAATTGGAAATATCGTGTAAATAAAGTATAATTTTATTCATTTCGAAAAAAAATTGAGTAAAAAATCCTACGACCCTATACCTACATTTAAAAAGAACAGATAACCTAGAAACATAAAAAAGAGCAGACTATTTAAAAATTAAATCGCCTTCATAAAATGATGTAATTTACAAAAAAAAACAGGTGTGTACACGATCACAACAAAGCAAAATGAAAATGTAAAAAATGAAAAAAAAACACGAAAAACACGTGCGTGACAACTCAACACACACAAAAAAAAAGCGTAAAACGTGAGAAAAAAATGGGAGGAGAGCAAAAGTAAAAAAAAATGAACCTTTTCCACCCTCGGCGATATGGATAATATATCGTATGTGGCTTTGAATGTCGCATCAAAGTTCCTGAACAACGCCTCGACTCGCGGCAGTTGCGAGAGGTTGAGGGATTTCGGCCTCTGACATAATAATGCAACCGTTGCCGTGAGTTTCGTGAATTTCATTTATATTTCCCAGGTAAAAAAAAGAAAACAAAGAAAAAATATGTTTTTTAATGTCATATTAGTTGGAATAATTAGGGCATTTGTTAATTTGTTTTATTTGAATTAAATCAATATTAAATAAAAAAAACAAACAAAACATTAATATAAATGAAATTCGAAAAAAAGGAAAAAAATAAATATAAAAATTAAGTACAATAATACGTAATTAAAATATTTATTTTTTAATTAATTAAAAAGATATATATACAAAGTATAAATACAAAATAAACCTCCACCAAAAGTCCAAGCTTTTGTGAGTGATTAGACGGCACAAGTTAGTGACATTATAACTACAGATTTGATACAATTAAATTTAATAAAAAATATATATATACACAACTCCATTTACTCTGAATATTGTTTAATATCAATTGTTCATAATGAAAAAATAAAAAAAATGCAAATTAACGTGCCAAATTAAAACCAAAAAAAAATTGTGCACAGATTATGTAAAAAAACAAACAGACAAAAAATCCTAAAAATAATCATTATTTTTATTTTTTTAAATTCAACATGTACATACATACATAAATACACACATATATTAACAAACGTATATACACACATTCTATATATGGAATACATACCTGTTTCCCCGGCTCTCGTCGCTTGTCGTTATACCTCGTGTCTGTGCCACTGTCTATCGAGCTGTCCTTAGAACCGTCAGAATCTATACGTTTGTCTGTTGGAAGATACATTCGAAACTGTATATTCTATCTATATTTAACGCTTATTTTGATTTTATAATAGCTATATTTTATTTCAATAGAATCGAGTGAATTTGACTATGAGGTCTAATCAAAAACAAACAATTCGTAGAGTGTACAAAAGGTAACTAAATATGTTGGGACATTAACACACAGCACCATCCAGTTCCATGGTAAGCTACGAGGCTCGTGTTATGGATACCAGATAGTTGATACATTACATATATAACTTTAAATACATATTTATTATAAATATAAACACCCATGACTGGTGTACAAACATTCGCGCTCATCACACAAACGAATGCCCCCAGCGGGACTCGAACCCGCGACCGCTGGCACAGCAAGTAGGGTCACTATAAACTGAGTCAAACGTGTCGTCGAATAATACAAAGGTGGAGCTTACCGGGGGGAGGCAGTATCCTCGTGGCCCACTTCCCCCTCGCGGGCGGCGCGGGGGGCATCTGCGCCTGCGCGGGAGGGCGCGCGCCGTCGGACGACAACTCATCCCCTAAGCTCTTCTTAGCCCAAGTCGGCAACTTCCCGATGCGTAAACTGGTAATTACAAAAAACAACTTTATATATTTTAAATTTGACATAAAAAGATACTATGCCATCATTGTGGGCGAATTTCATCTTCAATTTTAAATATGAATGAGGTATATATAAGAAAACCTTAAATTCAACACTTCCATTTTTAAAATCCAAAAAGTAAAACAGATCAAACCAGGTCCATCCACTACTAAGATCTAAATATGATTTTAATCTATTTTCTAGTTTTTTTTTTCAAAAAATATGTATATTGTGGTAGACTGATCATTCTCGTATTTAAGGTAATAAGAGGGGGCGAATTATTATTGTTATATTAATTAGTAGCAGCATCCTATAGGCGCCAAACAGTAGCTTATGTGTTACTGCACGTCGGTCAGTACAAAATTTTATTATTATATTTATCCAAATCCGTCCAGTTATTTTAGCGTGAAGGAGTAACAAACATAAACACATACAAACTTTCGTTACTTTTCATACGTATTACTTAAAATATTTGTTAATTACAATTAATTATAATTAACAAATATTGTGAAGTACTTTGGTGCCACTTTTGAATTTTTATAATCATTTAGTAGTTTTGTAGGTAGGCTACCTTTGAGACATCTAAAACCTCATTCTCTCGCTATAAAGCATTCGAAACGTAGAGAACCAAACATCAGAATAAATCCACGAAAAAATCCGGAAAATCCGGAAAAATCTAAGAAAGTACAATATAACTTACGTGTAGTCCGGTACTACTGGCGTGGTGAACTTTTCCTCGGCATTGATCTCTCGAGGCGGTGAGCCGAGATGTGACTCCGTTTCACTTTCTAAACCTGACATACCGTTGGTTGGAGGTGCTTTCCTGTGGGAAAATCAATAGAATTTATAATAATAATAAATATTTGTAGGTATGTGGGTATGTATTTATATAAAGTATACAACACATACATACATATATACATTATGTATAATGGTCATGGGATATTTTATCTTCATCGTGTGACATCTGCTTACGTGTATTGCCCATCAAACGAACATGAGCACTCTCTTCTTACTTATAATATAAAGCTTACTCTTACGGTTTACTTTATAATGTTTATATTTCTTTGTTATTAAAGAAAGCACTGATTTAATTTTATACTGCTTTTTATTATAATTGACAATTTAATTATATAGCGCACGTTGCCGGTACGGTACATATAATATATTTTATTAGTGTTGTCCATTGATCTAAAACGTACTAAGTACACAATCAGCGCTTTAAGTTTTTTTTTATGAAAACCATTTTAAGCATTGCATTCAAGGTTCAATTTACATTGTTGTATATTTATTTTAACTACAATAATTATCTAAACACAATTGGTAACAGTTGTAAGAGAACTTTTGAATGGGATTGCGTATCTAGTACTCTTTTGATCGATGGTATTGTGACGTCAACCGGTATGATATGTAAAGGGCGCTGTTGCTTGCGTTTAGTCCAATAATTTCATTCTGTGATTTCCCTCAACTTCAAACGCTCTTATATAAAATTTATTATTGTCTCACCGTCCCAGGCGCATGGCCTGCTGCGCGAGGCGCGCGCGCATGGTGACCACCATGTCGTGCGGCACGCGCCACACGAAGATGCAGCCGTCGCCCGACGCCGACACCAGGTGCTGGCAGTCCGGCGTGAACCTGCGCAGTGCACGGTGGCTATACAATGTCACAAATAATACACGCACGACCACGTGACTCTAAAAAAATTAATTCATAATAAAAATTTTCGTTATACCATCTTTAGAAAATTTTGCCAGATAAAGGTATATTTTAAATTTTTAAGAAATAAAAAAAATCTTATATTTTAATAGGTACAAATTTAAAAAAATGTAACTCCCCCGCCGCGATCAGTTTGTGTTTATCCGGACTAATCTCAGAAACTACTGAACGAATTTTCAAATGGTTTTCACCAATGAGGAAAAAATTCTTTAAGAACATTAATAGCTATAACTTATGAAAACATTCGAAAATAACATACCGATATACACATATTTTTGTTTTACCAAATAAATCGTCCTTTCTGAAAACTTCTATTATAAATACAAAATACATATAAAAACGAACTAGTTCTTTTTTTATTAAGAAAACATCACATTTCCACCAACCTGAGACCAGTCACAATCTCGGAATGTCCATACATGGTGGCCATGCACTCTCCCGAATAATAATCGTACACGCTCAATATCTTATCTGTGCTCGATGTCGCCAGGTAGATGCCGCTGCTGTCCAGAGATACCTACAAATGAACATACATACAAATATACATCATATATATGCGATCTATATTAAAAGCGACCAGTCTCCTTTTTTCGGTACCACGAGTTTGGACGCAAAAATAATTTTATTACTTGAAGGAATACTATTTATTTTTGTAGTCAATAAAATGAATGTTATGGATGAGTATTTATTTATCCATTTATTTATTTTACTTTCAAAGTCGTTGATATATAAAAATATAGATACACATTTCCTTACAAATATCTCTTTAAAAAGTGGCGTCGACATGTGACGTTAAGACAAACCAAAGAATACAATTCAAAAATCGAAAGTTCTAATTGTCTAAACACAAATTCGAACTTACACATACCACATAAAGTACTTTTTTAAACGAAGCTACTATATTTATATATACAAATATATTTGAAAAAAGTGCAATTCAATTTGGAATTGTGCACTTCTTTCGAGGACACTTTTAAAACGCTAATTGCATATCTTGAGTTTTTGTATATCAATGTTTAAATTAATAAATTATATATGCTAAATCGTTTAATGTTTCATGCAACAGAACCCTCTGTAAACGAGTCAGTCTCGCACTTGCCCGTCTTTATTTTTATTTTTTGTATAATCTTTAAATATATAAATATTTTTTATTCATTAATTAAATTTCACACGCCACGATCCTTAAGAGTCGAGCAATGCAATGAAACATAGATATATATACCTTGATAAGCGTCCCATCTTCTGCAGTGGTACCTCTAAAAGTCTTCGTGTGCCTCCCGTGAGCCGCGCTGTACACACGGACATTGCGATCCTGTAATATATACAAAATTATTATCTACATGATTCATATTAATATTATATGTGGAAGTAGATCTGTCTGTCCGTTTGTTTCCTGGAACTTTTTACAGAAATGCTGAACAGATTTTGGTGAAATTTGATAAGGACACAGATAGAGTTCTAAGCACTGACATAGGCTACTTATCGTCCCAGCCCCGGTTACTATGCAAGCAAATGGAATCATAGACCTGACTTTGTTAAGGACTCAACAAGACTTCAGAGAAAGACTCTTTTAGTTACTTCAATTTAATTGCAATATTATAAAAATGTTCGCCAAATTATCATAGTGTGTTTATATTATTATTGATATTGTTTTTCATTGATTTATATGTGTGTGTTTATGTATATATGTATGTACGTGTGTATACCTGGCAGGCGGTGAGCACGTGGCGGCCGCCGGCGTCCACCTCCATGTCGTAGAGCGTGGTGCGCCCCGACACGTTCTGTCCGCGCGCGAACTGGTAGCTGCCGTCCTGCATCTGGAATGTCACCACTGCGTGTTATTACATCATTATGTTTATTATTTTTGAAGTTATACTTCTTTTGGCACGTTTGGAAAAATTATTAGAGTAAAATTTTTACGATCACCGACAGCCGAAAAGCAACATGATGAAGTTAACAACATTCGTTTTACAGAGTTGTGACATACGGGATAAATTTTTGGCTATATTTGTTCTGTTACGCCAAAGAAGTATAACTTGTTGCGTACATAAGTACACACACACGTTATTATCTAAATATATATTATACTATGTCTTTTAATATTATATCTATACTAATATTATAAAAAGACTAGATTTTGTTTGTTTGTACCGAATAAGCTCCGAATCTACTAAACCGATTTTGATGAAATTTGGTAAGAAGATATTTCGACCTTCATAGATATTTCGGTAAGAAAATATTCCAGGATTATATACGGTAGTATGTTTCGTTACAACGTTTGATGTGAAACTTTATAAATTATCGGGAATAAATTGTAAAAGTAAAAACAACACCGCAGTTTCTTGCTAAGATTATATAAGCAAAGTATATAAAAAAAAACAATGTAAGATATATTTTTTGAAAATAAGACTTTAATTAAATCGCCTTAATTACATCATATTACTTTATGGCCAAAAATAATCACTATCACATCACTAAAACGCGCGGTTTCAACAGTACGAGCAAATCGCAAAACGTTAAAACGCGCGATTTTCATACAAAATCCTTTATATATAATACAGCCTTATGGCTGATACACTTACAGTCCTCAATTGTCTGAACAGTATGGTCTTATCAGCGCCGCACGACACCATCTGGAGACCAGGCCCCGAGCTGAGGAAGCGGACGGCCGTGATGGATGACGAGTGCTCGTCCAGGGTCTGCAGTATCTGGTACCCCTGGAAAAAAATAATAAATATTTTGTTATGAAACGGTATTTGGTAATGATTTAACATAATAAATTACCAATGTCTACTTTTTTTTTAATTTATATAAATTTAGATGGTAGTATATAATTATGTTATTTTACAGTGTTTGTTTCTAATGCAGTGTACATGTTTCATATATTTTTTATTGTTGAGTTTTATTTATTTTACGTCAAATTTCAAAAAAAAATATCATCTTAATAAGTATAAGAAGTTATTATGGAAATAATTTACATGAACAGTTGTTGGTGTAACTTACTAAAAACTTAAATTACACATTCACTGGCAAGTTTATACATACATTTATACAGACTCATTAATCTAAGCGGCTAGTGTATATGTACGTTTACACATACAAAAGTCCCAAGTTCGATTCCTCAGTTAAGCTAAATATAATTATAGGGTTTTTTATTTAAAAGATGCCTAATATTTTCACTTCCTATGACATACCGTAAAGTTAACTATAGTTGAATTGTCATCCAATCAGTCACTAATAATGAAACAGAGAGACGGACGCTTTGTGACTAGGCGAGTGAAAGAGACAGGGATACCGGCCCACTTAACGATGAACAGGAAAGACCAAACGATTCATCGCACCAGCCACTAAGCGTGAAAGAGACAGACACAAGCTCTTTAACTAGGAGAGTGAAAGAGACAGAGAGAGCTCGAGAGTACCCGATCGACGTCGAAGACGTGCACCAGTCGGTCGCGCGAGGCGGAGGCGAGCAGGCGCGGCTCGCGCGCGTACTCCACGCACAGCACCTCGGCGTCGTGCGCCTCCAGCGTGTGCAGCGCGGCGCCGCGCGCGTCGAACACCCACACGTTGCCGGCGCGGTCGCCCGCCGCGATGTGCCGCCCGCACGGCGACATGCGCACGCATCTATACACACACGAGGAGATTGTCTATACCAATATTATAAAGAGGAAACAAATTGTTTGTATCGAATAGACTCCGAGACTTCTGAACCGATTTAGATGAAATTTGATAAGAAGATAGTTAGAGACCCTGGGAAGGACATAAGATAGTTTTTATCTCGAAAATCCTCGCTTAAGGGGGTGAAAGTTTGTATGGGAAAACAACCTAAGGATGAACCCAAGCCGAGCAATGGTGAGTCACTGGTCTTATCTATGAGCAAACGTGTATATACAGTTGTGTTGCACACACACATACACATGAAACGTGTACGACTACATTGTTTTATATAATATAATAGACTTAACTTGTAATAGAGCGCACAGACACATGCAATATATGCTTACACACATGTAACACGTTCAACAAGATTATGATCTATTAATGTTTTAAACATAAAACGTTCGTTTATATCGTGATATGTATAAAAAGGCACCTAAAACAAGAATATTGGGGGTCTTTATCTATTTATAATATTACATAGAGACAGAAACAGCTTTTGGCAAATTTTATTGCTAACTAGTGTATACATACTATGTGTGTACCTTGGTTATGGTCTGTGTACCAAATTTCATCCAAATCCATCGCACAAAATATTCTGTGCCAAACTGACACGCATAAAACCAAATAACAAAGAATTGAATTGCATGAAATATGTCACCTAAATATTGATTATTAATTTCTACTTCTACCTTCAAAAATTTCCGAGAAATACAGTTTTGACAGACAGACACAACTATTTATGTGATCCTATAAGGATTCATTTAATCTCATTTTCAGGTGCAGAACAATAAAAATAATAAAAAAATCTCACTCACCTGACTCCAGTCTTATCATCGTACGTTTTCGACTTGTCCTTATCGCTTGTAGCCGTCAAATCCACGTCTTTCAGAAATTTGAGCTCAGGATCGATATATAACACTTTGGAGAGTTCCTGCAACACATAATAAGCCGAAAGATAAATTATATTGGCCATAGTATTGAGTGGAGTAGAGGACAAATCTTATAGGTGAAAACCGTATACTAAAAACCGTACAATAGTTTCTGAGATCAGTCCGAATAAAAACACACTGAGTATGGTGGTACCCTAACACTACTTACATTTATAATAATAAGTAGTGATTTAAGAGATAAAAAGTTTATATGTTTAAAGATATTCAAAACCTAACAATATTAATACAAATATATTATAACTGTACCCAGTTATGCAAAAGCCAGCCATGTGCGTAAAAGTACCAACAGAGTTATAAGCATTTTTCTATCGATAGTTGCACTTGGGTTATGTTTTGTTTTTCTGGTTATTTTAAAATTGAACAATATTTATATAAGTATTGTTTATTTTTCATAATTATTTTATTTTTTGTAACAAAATGCTTATAACTCTGTTGGTACTTTTACGCACATGGCTGTTTTTTGCATTACTGGGTCCAACTATTTTCAAAGCCTTCAAATTTGGAATCTGATTTAATTAATTAAAAAGAATATTAAATTTCTATATCTACACAAACACTCTACATGTATTATTTTAATATAAATTACTTCAATATGAAAAAAATGATAATTAAATGTCAAGTAAATCAGGTCAATTCTTTGGAATCCCATAATTTGAGAAGTAAACCACAAATAATAAAAAAAAAATATTATACATGTTAATCAAATTGAAAAAAGCTCAATACTATACATACATATTTTGAATTGTGCACTTCTTTTTGAGGATAGTTTTGAGACGCTAATCGTATATCTTGAGTTTTTACCCGACTGCGCGACACAAACCAGAGTAATGTGTTTATCAGCCTATGTACGTATGTACATATATATGTGGGTTTGTACCTTTTTGGCACTTTTTAGACCAAACGCGTGGTCAGACTTTGATAGAAAGCATAAAAATTTGGAAAAATCAAAATGGCTGATTTTGGACGTCATAATGTAAAAAATAAAAAAATAAAAATCGACCAACTATTTCAAGTGGGGTATCGACGAAGAATTAAAAATCATTTTTAGGTTATTTTAATCATTTTATATAACTGTTTAGGATATATAGTGATTTAAAGTTGGTTAATAACCATTCTCGCTAATTTTCGTTCTTAAAAAGCTATAAATAAAAAAATATATTATAAAAATAAAAACCCGACTGCATAAAAGCTAACTGAAAATATGGAAACAAGTTCACTATGGAATATAGTATTATGGAGTCGAAGACATACATACGAGTATGTACATCTCGCGGAAAGGATGAAACGTGTACGTCTCCGACTGCATAATACTATATGTATTCTATCGTTACGTTCATCTTTTCAGTTAGCTTTTATGCGATCGGGTTTTTTATTTTTATAATACATATATTTATTTTCGTATCCCAACAAACCAACACCCGCACTCACATTGCTGTATATATTGGGCGCGGGCGCGGCGCCGGCGGCGGGCGCGGGCGGGCGCAGCGTCCACACGCGCACGGTGTCGTCGCTGGAGCAGGAGAGGAAGGCGGCGGGCGCGGCCGCCACCACGTCCACGCCCCAGATGCACGCCGAGTGGTACAGCGCCGAGTGCGACTTGCCCACCTGACACGCCGGCACACATGTATAGCTACACACGTTCTATTTACACCATCCCACTCCCGCACAGACGTTCGTGCTCATCACGCAAATGAATGCCCCCAGCGGGACTCGAACCCGCGAGCGCTGGCACAGTACGTAGGGTCACTACGGCCTGAGCCAAACGTGTCGTCTTATTTGACTGCTTTGTATGTTAGAATATAATATTATACATTTGTCAGACAGTAACAACGGTTATCATGGTAACATGGCACCTCATGCTGTCGCCGAATTATTCCTATATATTTATATGTTTGTCTCTTTCTAGTGTCGCGTTTTCGTTTCATCGAGTTTCAAATCACAACGATTCTAAAGTTTCACTTCAATAAAAATAGAGACAATGTCTCAAGAATTCAAAATAAAAAAAGACTTTTATTTTTTAAATCTCGGACGGCTTTGACGGTTTGAACCAAATTTTGTATTTAGATAAGGTTTCGCTTTTTAAGTTTACCTATTTTAATGAACAAAGAAAAATGCATTTTTTGTGTCTTTTCCGAGCTACTACAGGTACTATAGATAAAAATATAAATAAATAATCCCACAACTCACCCTCTTTATATCCCTCACATCCCACACGTACAGACTGTGGTCGTTGTATACACACGTCAGCTTGTGGTTCCTCTCGTCGTAGGTCAGCGCTATGGCGTCCGGGTACCTGGCGTTCTCCGGCTGGCTGAACATGTGGCTGGAGATAGAGATGGACAATCGTTAAAAAAATTGGTCAAGTGTGTGCGAGTGATGGGTTCCATTCCTCCAGGTTATAAAAATTATAGTTTATATAGTGCAAGACTGATTGATATTTAGTTATTTATGTTTTGTTTTTGAAGTTATTTTTATTTTTACTTAAATATTAAGTAAGAAATTTCATGTGTCATTCTCGACTTAATCTTTTCACGAAAATAAAAAAAAGATATAAATATAAAACTAAATAAATTATGATGAATGATTTCGAAGTAAAAACACGTTAGTATCATCTCGTAGCAAGTTACAATTACACCTGTGGACTCTATAGCAATCTGCCGACTGTCCTATAAAAGTAAGTATACCAATCGGGAGCGCCTCCTCGCGTTCCCCTCGCACACCACACAAAAGCCCTTCTAAATGCTTTCGTTAAACATGCGCCAAATCCACTTCGACATAGTGCGTGCGTGGGATCGTTCTAATAAAGTCAAACTAACTTAAGCACTCCCTCCCCCTCTCTCCCTCTCTCTGTCTCTCTCAAAACGAGGGTAAGCCGCTAGTTTAAAATAACACAGTATTGTATGACAAGATCACACGATATTTTTCGCGCCACATCCACACCGACTTAGTGCGTGCATGAAAGCGCTCAAATCTTACATACGAGATAAATGTGAACTCTATCTCTCTCACTCTCCCAGTCGGGCAAGCTCACCTGATTGTGTCGCCGCGCGCGACGTCCACGCCGAGGTAGTGCGTGCGCGGCAACGTGGTGACGTAGCGCAGCGACGCCGGCGCGAAGCAGCGCACGATGCCCTCCGCGCACCCCACGAATATGTACTCCGACCCTATCGCCATGCAGTTGGCCGACGTCGTCTGCGGGTCACGACACGTACATACATGAATAATAATGTCCGCCAGATATTCAGAGTCTGTTGAGAAGGCGGACGACCGCTAGTCTAATCCAGGGCTCGGAACCAGTTAAAAAAAAAAGGTTTATTTCGGTAATGCAATGGTTAATTCGTCGCTCCTTCTTTAACCGGTATTTTTTTTATTTTTTATTTAATCATTTATTTCAGGCAATAATTACATAAGGATCTTAAATATGTAAACAGAGGCACATAACATATATACCTTAAAACGAACATATATATTAATTATAAAACTTAAAAACTATTTAACACGTAATGCAAACGTGTCAGCGGGCAAACGACCTCGGAACTTCAATTTTTTAATAAATTTTAATGAAAACGAACCGTTTAGTTCTTAGAGAAAGTCTTAGAGAAAGTTTTCATAAAAAAAATCTACTTTTTCAGAAGTTATTTTTAGAAAATCATTTTCTCAGAACAATCTAAAAACATCTTGTCTTACAAAACTTGTCCTGACAATTACGAACACAACGAAAAAATCAGTCAAATCAATCGAGCCGTTCTCAAGTGATGCTCCGTCATACATTTACTAATTCATTTTTATGTATATAAATAAAGAGACAAATATGTATATACCTCATACCTGTGTATAATAAAAAAAATACAAAACAACCACTCACCCTCAACTCTACCCACTTGTCCAACAGCCGTCTGCTGTTGAACTCACAGAGGAGTCCTCCTCTAGTGATGGCGTACGTACTCTCCGCAGCATCTCCCCTCCCGCACACGACGTCACAGAACTCATTGTCCTTCTGCTCCCCGAGGATAGCTGACCTGCCCATGAGAGGGACCGGCTCCTTGAACTATGAAAATATCAGGTTTAAGATCATTTACATATTTTTTAAAAGAATATTACAATTCATTTACACGAGAAATCACATTAGCTAAAGCTTAATTTAACACTTTATTGGGCACATCGAAAATTCACAGACAAGACAAGTAACAAGTAGAGGGTAAGATTAAAAAATATATACACAGGTTAACAGAATAAATAATAAAGAAATATACTTAATTCAATTGTGTTTTAGAAGCTATTTTCAACCGTCATACTATACACCTTTTAAATATTAGGGATTCAAAAATAATTTATTTATTTTATCAAAATAACCAATAACTTTACATTTATTCATTCATTTGGCACTTATGGCCGATTTGAACAACGTCACCTAAGTTTAAGGGATCTCCTAAGCATGGTTAGGGGGCTGTTAGGGGACAGTTTCTGTTCCATCGACAGTTAGGGGTCACCTAAATATTAAAAAAAAACGCCACCTAAATATAGGTACTAGAAATACGGGCTCTGACGATGGTAAATGAAATTTAATTTAGGGGTATAGTTTAGGGGAACTTTTAAGCTAGGGATCCCATACGTAGGTGATAGCTTAAGTGATATTGTTGAAATCGGGCATTAGAGATTTTGCTGTAAAATCTATACTAATATTATAAAGAGGTAAAGTTTGTGAGTTTGTGAATTTGTGAGTTTGTGACGTTGTAGAGGGTAATCTCTGGACCTACTGAACCGATTTAGATGAAATTTGGTAAGAAGATAGTTTAAGATCTTGGGAAGGACATAGGATAGTTTTTACGCAGGAAATTATCCCTTAAGGGGGTGAAAATGAGGATGAAAGTTTGTATTGGGAATCAAGCTAGGGACGAACCCGAGCGAAGCGAGGGTGAGTCGCTAGTACATATAATAAAATATGATAATAAAAACAATACTCAAATGATTCTTTACATAATTCTAGTAGGATCATCAACTTTACTTCAAGAGTCAATATAGAATGTACTGTATGTTGATCTATGGTTTTCAAAAACGATACTAAAGCCTTAATTAAATCAACTATTGTAATTTTTTACTGTGTGTTTGTTTGTACAGTACAAATACTAATTTCCGAGACAGCTGTACCTATTTCAATGTAATATTCAATACTTAGCAGAAGAAAGATTCAGGATATTTATCGTGGAAAAGAAAAAATCTTCCAGGATAAAGGATAGAAGGTAGACTAGATCGAATTGTATGGAACTTTACTAATAAAGAATTTAGTCCAAATCTACATACATATATATGGGCCACTTTTTATTCCAGGAAATGAAAATTGTTCCCACAGAATAGATGCCAAACGTTCTAATAGGTTTTTGACAAGGGATGTAATGAGGTAATGATATCTAAATTTAGAAATGACGTTTTACTTCAGAATTTCCTGCACATTTCCTAGAATCGCAACAAAAGCGTCATAATCTGCAAAGTAATCTTCCAGCCATCGTAAAATGCAAATAATGATAATATAAAGATATGATATGTTTCATATTATTACTCATATTATATACATTTTGTAAAAATCCTTAGTTAAAAAATGGCTTGAATATATTGTAATATTTCAAATTTCAATCCTTATTAATATAGCAATAGGGTATATTATGCATGTCGACTTTAAAACTTTAATTCATTATTTACATCATACCATCGTAAAAATTATTTATAATAAGCTTGGAAATAGGATAACAGCTAAGTTAAATAATTTTAATATTTTTTTTTTCACAAGCAATTTGTATCACTCGAAATCAACAAACATATATTAATATAGAATAAATAAATATATGTAACAAAATCGTCTGGTATCTCACCTTAGCATTTCTGGAATATTCCAAATACCAGAACTTGACATGTCTGAAACCAACGGTCACAAAGTAGTTGCCGCTCTCAGAGAAGCTGACCGCTTTTACACGAGACGACACCTGCGGGTGAGATATATAAAGCTATTATAGTATAAATCTTACTAATATTATAAATGTGAAAGTTTAGATGTTTGTATGTTTGTTACTTAATGACGCCAGAACGGCTAAACGAATTTGGATGAATTTGACACAGAGATCTACATTTTATCACAGAAAAATGTACGGTTCCCATGGGATAGAGTTGTTTTTGTTTTTCTAGAGGCGAAACGGCGCGAAGCGAAGATGAGTCGCTAGTATACTATAAACTTATAATAAACTTATAATAATACCTTGTTACTGGCCAATTTCAAGTTAGCCCTCCAGTCCCACACATTGACTATCATGTCATGCTGAGATCCGACCGACACTAGGTACTTGGACGACGTAGAGAATGCCTGAAAATAGAATAAAACACACATAAACAATCTCTTCTAGAAATAAGTCCATTTGCAAACTCAATTTTGTATTTTAAATAAAACTTTATTTTTGGTTCTTGCACGGATTTATTTAGATTTTTGGTTCCCGACGCTTCGAATGCATTACAGCAATTATGGTCACGGAAGGGACCGAAAAGATAGTTTTATTTAAAGTTTCCTATATTCGCGTAAATCTAAGGCAGTATAAAGTTTCTGTAATTTTAACAAGTTCCGTTTTATTTCGATATTCAATAAATAAATATAAATATGTTGGGACATTAAACACCACCATCTAGTTCCATGGTAAGCTACGAGGCTTGTTATGGATACCAGGTAGTTGATACACTACACATAAATAGCTTTAAATACATACATAGTATAGAGTACAAACATACGTGCTCATCACACAAATGAAAGCCCCCAGCGGGACTCGAACACGCGACCGCTGGCACAACAAGTAGGGTCACTACAAACTGAGCCAAACGTTTCGTTTAAAAATTAGATTATTTAGATAGAAAATTACTCGTAAAGCGTAGACCAGTCGAAATCCCTACAATATAAAACGTCGCAATAATAAAGAAGATCCATCCATATAAGGCCTCACCACACAGTTAACTCCATGCGTGTGTCCCGGAAACTCGGCAATCTGAACCGCACCTGAAGCGGTTGGATCCTGGAACAAATATGTAATTATTTACTTACTTTTAATGTTAATTTATTTACTAGTTTGTTTGTTTGTTTGTCCTTCTTTCAGGTCAAAACAGAGTGACAGATTGGCGTGACTTTTTGTATGGAGTTAGATGGAGGGCTGGAGAGCGACACGGACTACTTTTACCGCGGGACAACCCACAAACTCATCATACTTATGTATATACTATACATAATATATAGTCTACCTACTCCATACTAAACGTTAAAACGTACCTAGAGACGAAACCGAACGAAGCGAGGGTGCGTCGTTAGTTTATATGTATGTATAAATATCATTATAAAACTTAAATAATGTTAAATTGATGTTTTAGTATTAAATACTTCATCCACTCGACACTAGATGGCGCTAGTAGTTATGTATTTTCATACTGGTTATTTCCATTATTATGTATTTTCATACGGGTTATTACTATTATTTGCTTTCATTATTGAACTTTAATGACGTTGGCGAAATCTAAAGTAATTTCTATTTAATACAATTATTTCATACAAATATTTTACACCTCATTCATACTAATCAGAGTTTAAATTTAAGGAAAATAGCTTATATATTTCCTGTTCTGTTAAAGTACCCTCATACCATACTGTATCAAAATAGGTACAGCCGTTAAAAAATCCAGTCAGACAGACAAACAGACAGGACGAGTTGTGTATAATATGTTTACTAGCACAGGTCACAAGTTCAAGCGTAACATGTAGCGTGCGTTTGTAATTTATATTAAATCATAAATATATGTAATACTTTTGTATAAAAATGAAGTTGACCTATAATTTCTATACAGCTTCATCATAGCTTATATGGTGTAATATAATCTAACAAATATATATAAAAGAATTAGGGAAGTACTCTCGCTTCGCTCAGGTGCTTCAATTTTTTTTTCTAAAATTAAAGTAGCCTAAGTTACTCCTTATAACATCAACTATCTGCCAGTGAAAGTCCCGTCAAAGTCAGTCTAGCTTTTTCGGAGATTAGCCGAAACAAGTAGACAGACGGACAGACAAATATTTTAAAAATTGATATATATATATTTTTAAAGTACCGTATATAATTTCACATGCATTTAGTAAACAGATGTTGTTATTTCGACATTACAAACAGACACTTTAATTTTATTTATCTGTATAGATAAAAGTTACATTATTATGAGAGAAAAAGATAGCACGCTATTTTCAGTATGAGTAAACGAGATGCATCTATTGTTTTTCTTAATTAAACACTATGCGTAAGCATAGTCACGTGACAATTTAGATGGTTTTAGATACAGAAGAACTCTATATAAGTTATTTGATATACTATTACAGTAGCAAAAGTTTGTATGTATGTTTGTGATTCCTTCACGCTGAAACGGCTGGACCGATTTGGATGATATTTTGTACACAAATAGATTATGACCTGGAGTAACTACGCTACCGTTCGACACCTGGGAATGAACGTAAGGCGCTAGAAATAAAATAACGAATAAACTAACACAACTTCGCTATTTCATTCGCAACTTAAGTAGCGCTTCGTGTTTAAGCTTTCATGGTCACTGACATAATTTTTATGATGTACAATTTACCATGGTTTTCACTTACTTACAAACGCCATGGTCAAAGGTAAATACCTCTTTATACATCTATACTACACAATATACATATAATAAAATTGTAACTAAACCTAATTTTTGGAGCATTAAATATTTTTTGTAAAATCTTATTGAAATAGTCATCATTATCGATACAGAGGCCGAATTTATAGTTTTTAGATTTTTTGTGTCCGCATGACGGAAAAACCACTAGTGGGATTTTGATGATATTAGGTATGATTATTGATAGCTAGGTTATCCGGGTCAACATATAGGATACTTTTTACTGCGGGAAAATATCTCATGTCTGAGAAATCTCCTAGGTAAAATAAAAAATGTAATTACATATGTGTCTGTCCATTTACCTGTAAATCCCAGACTCTAACAGCCGGCGCGTGCCCGCACTCCCCGGTCGCCAGGTACCGTCCGTCGGGCGAGAAGGCCACGCACGTCACACTCTTCCTCGACGCGTTCAACACGTGCGACTGTCTGTTCTTACGTACATTGTATAGGACCACTGTGCATCTGTAAATAAAATGTATTCAACATTAATATTTTTTTACTGTCACCTAATGATATTTTAAATATAAAAGTGTGTGTGTGTGTTTGTATGTTTGTTAGTACACCGTCCAAGCTCTGAAAGATTTGGATGAAACTTAGGAGGTAGATAATAGATTATGACCTTAGATATAATATATATAACATAACACTGGGATTAAAATACTATCGCAATTATAAAAAAATATCATTTTTGAGGATAAAAAAACCATCTACCCATCTATAATTATAATTTATCATAGTCCAGACAAAACCGCTACGCACCGTACTCCTACAACAATGTTAAAGTTAGCCAACCCGTAAGAAAGAAAAAAGGCCTATATGAGGTTGCAAATTTGCAAAGGAAAAATAATTATTAGGGTATCGAAAAATCATTTTTTTTATTAGCAAGACAGGGTAAAACCGGGCCATAATGCTAGTAAATTATAACAAATTAATGAATTAGTAACATAAAACTTTCTCTCGTTTCAAGCAGTCATAATAAATCCAATGAGCAATTAAGAAAAAACATATTTTTAAAAATTAATATATTTATACATAAAAATAAATTGTAATGAACAATAACCATAAAAATATAAAATATTAGTTCTATTTTTTTTCTTCAAAAGTAATAAACACATCATATTTTTCACACGTAGGTAAGTATGATACGCATTAAAGTGTTTTACTGTTCGTGAAATCAAAATATATACATATAATAAAATTGTAACTAAGCCGAATCTGTACATCGAATATTTTTTGGAAAATGTTATTGAAATAAACATTATTATCAATACAGATGCTGATCTATAGTTTTTAGAATTTTTGTCTGTGTGTCTGTCTGTTTGTTAATGCATCACAGAAAAACCACTGGAGGGAATTTGATGACATTTAGTATGATGATAGCTGATTATCCGGGTCAACATATAGAATACTTTTTACCGCGGGAAAATGTCTCACTTCTGAGAAAAAATACAAAAATTGCAATGTAAGAGTATACTAATATGTAAAACCTAAGAATTTGTTTTTTGGTCATCCGAACGCGAGCGGAGCCGCGGGCAGTGCTAGTTCACCAATAAAATCTCAACTTAAATTTAACCTTTCTTTGACGAACACATTTAAAAACACATTAAGTAACGTGTTACGTTTAAGCACTTATAGTTTAAACAACAGTAAGTACATGACGACTGTGCGTGAGAAAGGCCGTCTGTGCATCCGTCATACATACGAATGAGTTCTATGAGATTAGAATAATGTTAAGAGACAAGCGATGCGCGAGAAAATGATTTATATAAAAAAAAGAAAATCTCGCTTTAGTCTATACCTATAATAGCAGAACCCGCGGCTTCGCTTGCGGTAAAACTACAAAAAAAACTCTAAAAAGGTAGGTTTCATACAATTTTTTATCTCCTACACTATACCCTTATGGGATGAATTTCAAATAACGCTAAAACATGTATTTATTTAATTGTATTTAAGAGCATTAATACCAAGTTTTAAGTAATTCTGATGATAAATATTTTTTTGGGTTTTATTATAACGTGTATTCCCGCGGGAATGAAATAATCTGACGCGGTAAAAAGTAGTCAAAATCACGCCAATTCGTCTCTTTGTTTCGACGTGAAAAAAGGAGAAAGAAACAAACACACTTTCACATTCATAATATTAGTATAAGTATGGTTATAAAACCGAAACGTCACTCATTCACTTACTAACTAAAAACGAAAACTTAAAACAACTTGATCTATAAAAGTTAAAAATTTGACTGTAGGTACTTTACAAGTAGGAGATGACTGTTAACAGACGGAAGTCGCGATATGATCGAATTAAGTCTAAGTAAGTTTTGTCTATAGCTACCCCATAGAAAATATTGGTACATGGGTTGATTTATATGAAAAATCCTACATATTTTTTGCAGCTTGCTTGCTCTATTCTGAGGAAAAACAACTGGAGGAAGATCGTTCCATTATTACATAAATAAATTAAAAAGTAAAAATACACGTTTGCCTCAGTTTGTAATGACCCTACTCGCTGTGCCAGCGGTCGCGGATTCGAGCCCCGCTGGGGGCATTTATGTGATGATCACTTATTTTTCTTACTATAGTTAGGAGTGTTTATATTTATAATATGTACACATGTATTTAAAGTTCAATATATGTGTAGTGTATCAACTATCTAGTATCCATAACACAAGCCTCGTAGCTTACCATGGAACTAGATGGTGCTGTGTGTTATTGTCACCACATATTTATTTATTTCAAAATGAAACGGGGACTTTCTCTAGTAGAATTCGAAGTCACTACCACTGTCCAGTCATAATATATTTACCAACTATCCCATATGGCTTATACCCTGCCTCTCGCACCTATCACCACCACTATTTCCCATAGCTAAGTCATTGTATAAACCGATATAAGTAACGACGTGTCTAATTAATATGTATGCCATGAAGCCGTGAGCTGGTATGGCGGGTGTTATGCGGTAAATTAATTCTACTTTAAACAAAGTATTTGCTTGTGAGTTTGATCACAATGCAACATGTGTCTGTTTTGTAACATCGATTGGTACGGGTTCGATTTTCGGTCGAGTAATATTTATTTTGAACACCTTGTAAGTGTGGTTAAGACAAAGTGTATGTATGTACGTACTTTTTCATAATCAGTACAAATCTAAGAATTTGCACCCGAAAGAAGTACCTACAGAATCTCGTTCTAAAAACTATAAAGGTACTAGCGACTCATCCTCGCTTCGCTTCGGGTTTGTCTCTAGACAAAAACAAATCTTTTCCACGGGAACCGTACATTTTTCGGGATAGAAGTAACCCATTTGCTATGCCAGACTATAACCTATCCCTGTGTTAAATTCCATTCAGATCAGTTCAGCCGTTCTGGCGTGATTGAGTAACAAACATCCATCCATCCATCATTACAAACTTTCACATTTATAATACATATTAATAGAATAAGTAGGTGCATAGGTAGTCGTAAAAGACAAGCGTACAAACAAAATATAAAATATTTAAAAAAAACATAACTAAAATCCAATTGATATAACCCGACATTAGAAAAAATATTTTATAGCCTACTAAAAGAAACGAAGAACTCCATAGACAAAATTCATAAACACCATCAAAACCGACCACCATCGAACCTAATACCGTTAGGTCAAAATCTTGCACCACCATGATTCATGGTGTACGGAAGAGGAAGTCGTAAGGTCTACGAACTATAACTTCTTTATAGCAGTCCGTTATTATAGTTAACTGTTGACAATGTTGCTACACGCCAAAAAAAATGTAAACTAATAATTTCATAATAGGTATAAGTATGAAAAGAAAATTTAAATAGGATACAAAATAAAAGCACTTCTATGATTTGTGCTTTAGGAGGATGTTAAAAATTCAAAATCTATGCATATAATAAAATTCTGAGTCGAAAATCTTATTGAAATAGTCATTATTATCGATACAGAGGCCGAATCTACAGTTTTAGTACTTTTGTCCGTCCGTCCGTTAGTCTGGGAACGCATCACGGAAAAACCACTGGAAAGATTTTGATGAAATTTGATATAACAATAGCTATAGGTTATCCGGGTCAACATATAGGATACTTTTTACTGCGGGAAAATATCTCATTTTTAAGAAATCTACACTAAACGTTAAAATATAAATTATTTTAATTAATAAAATGTTTGAGAAGAAACATATAGAATAGAAATTGTCACTAATATGAAGAAATGTAAAAGATATAAGAGCGAACTGAGAGAAATACATCGTAAATAAGAACATATAGTATAATTTAATTTCCCATTTTGGAAGAAGTACCTATCTCATATTTGGGAAATGAAGAATTTCTAGAAATAATAATAAAATTAAGATATGTATGTACGTATGTATTTTATTATAAAATTGTTTCGACGAGAGGACCGAGCATAGCCTTGGGCTAACGCTAGTGAATTTAATAAAAAAAGACGCCTGGATTTCGACCCCTCGTACACATATTATGGGGATGGTTTTAAAGTAATTGAGTACATAATAGTGGGGAGTAGGAGTGCCAGACGGGTGCGGAGGACGCACCCTAATAATCGATAATTATATTTTTCATATAAAAAGTTAAAATTTACCAAACAATTATAATATTATACAATTAATTTAATCCTTTTCTTAGATTTACCTGAATATTTGACGTTTTAAATAAAAGTATCTTTTCAAATGCTTTTCAATCTCTATCTCTTCCGTGATCATGATTGCTGTAAAGTAAAGCATTCGAAACGTCGGGAACCAAAAGTCAAAAATAAACCGCGAAAAACATCCGAAAAGACAGTTTTATCTATAAGTACATTATAATAAAACTAGCGGCTAGAAAAACGAAAACGTAGGATATGTGTTATTCCAGACTATAATCTGTCTGTGTGCCAAATTTCATCCAAATCCTTTCCGTTCTGGCGTGAAAGAGCAACAAACACACATACATACTCACAAACTCACATTTATAATATTTATACAGATTACACATATTCTGAGTCGAATCTGTACATTAAATATTTTTTGAAAAATCTTATTGTAATAATCATTATTACCGATACAGAGGCCGAATCTATATGTAGTTTTTAGAATTTTTGTCTGTCTGGGGACGCGTCACGAGAAAATCACTGGGCAGTTTTTGATGAAATTTGGTATTTACTTTTACTTATTATTTATACTTTTTACTGCGAGAAAATATCTCATCTCTGAAAAATCTATACTAACCGTTAAAACGTTAGGGACGAACCCGAGCGGAACGAGAGTGAGTCGCTAGTTTAGTAATAAAACTGTTATATTGTTACGTAGTATCTCGCCCTCGCTTTAGTCAGGATATACATATGTAGCTATTACGATAATAATAAACATTAATAAAACCGGCCATACACATTTTTATTCATCACCATGCTTATTTCAAAACTTTGACAAAACTTTTTAATTTTCCGTATATTGTTCCCATGAAAAACCTTATACATACCTATATATTATATAGAATAATTAGATATCTAACTAGCTGTCTGTTCCATCTCACTTTGTTATAAAACAAAAAAACTTACGTAAACCTCTATCGATGTCAATACGGCTCGTACTTGACAACTATATAATATGTACAATGTACATAACATTTAGACATAAAAAGGACGCGATATTTCACAAATCTAAATATTGTCTAAAATGACAAGTCCCTTTTAGTCGTGTTATAAGTTTGGCGTGTCTGTGTGTGTGTGTGTCTGTGTGTGTGTGTGTCTGTCTATGGCATCGCTCCCGAACGGATGAACCGATTTTAATTTCGTTTTTTTTTTGTTTTAGCTATGTTTGATGAAAATCGGTCCAAGATTTTCGGGGGTTTTTTTAATTTATCTATTGTTATTATCAATATTTATTTATTGTTAACAATCAAATAGTAAGTACAGCAGAAAATTTAAAATAAGAAAAACATACATATGTTTACCATAAACAAAAAAATTACATAAAGAATGATGTTTTGTTATACGTACAAGTATTTAATAGAACAGTTCATTGTATGTATGTATCTACATTGTCAATGTATTACAATCACGAGAGGTCACAGGACCTAACCCTATTCACTTGTACTTAACATATTCGCAATTAAGGCCAAGGTATATAAAATAACAACATCCTCAGAACAAACATAACAAACTAAGCGACACATTCTCTTCACGTCGCGTCGGCCGCGCGCACTCCGCCCGCCCCTCTAAGGGCACGGATGTGACGTACGGACGGACATAATTCAAGTTATATCATCATTACGTGGTCAACAACCGCGATTGACCGTGACAGTATCATATTTATTAAATTTTGCTTCGATCACTTGATTAGAAACATTCATTTATATATTACTAGCGGCGCACCTTCGCTTCGCTAGGGATCGAATCTAGAAAAACAAATCTAACCCACGAGAACCGTACTTTTTTTCGGGATAAAAAGTAATCTATATGTTATTCTGATGCATGAGTAACATTATTGCAAAGTTTCATCAAAATCTATTCAGTAATTTTTGCATGAAAGAGTAACAAACATACATCCATACATACATTCTTACAAACTTTCGCTATTATAAAATTAGTAGGAACTTAACTACACTCGCTTTACTCAGGCTCGTACCTAGATTCTAAACAACGGCCTATGTGTAATAGTCTACCTATGCACTGAATTTGATCCAAATTTCAGCTTAAATAACAGACCTAAATACACACTATCACAATGTATAAAAATAATAATTATAAAGAGTGTGATTCTTTTTGTTCTGAGCCTACAATATTTGTCCTTCCGTTAGTATGGAAACCGTGGTTTTTAAATTAAAATAACAAATAAAAAAAGCTTCCGAAGACCAGCACTTAGCCAGTTATTGACCAAATACAAAATAATAAATATTGTATTGCCAAATTTGACATTTACACTTTCAAACAAGAGTTTACAGGATATAGGATACACAGACAAGACCCACAGAATACATAAGAAAAGGCGGGTAGGTTGAGTAAATAATAGAGTTTTGGACACGGGACCCTAAAATAAGTTTTCCATTTTATGTTACACAACGAAACAAAAATATAATATAATTAAATTAAATTAGAGCATTCCAACGACTCTTCTCGAAGTGGGACATCGCGGGAGTAGGTCAAAAGCTCATAGCGAGTTTATAGGTTGGGTTTACCAGTGCATATAATGTACGCTGGTAATTTGCTTGTATCGTGCAAAGGAGAGGAGAAAAGCCGAGAAAAATATATTTATACTTCGCTCGGGTGCGTCCCCAGTTACATTTTACTTCGTTTTCAGCAGAACCCTAATTGTTTTTCTAAAATAAAAGTAGTCTATGTTACTCCTTTTAACAGCTGTCTGTCAGTGAAACTCCCGTTAAAATCAGCCCAGCCTTTTCGGATATTAGCCGGAACAAACAGACAGACAAAAATTAAAAAAATATGTGTTTTTCTTATAAGTACCGTATATAATTTCATATAAATTTAGTAAAAAGTTGTTATTTTGACATTACAAACAGACACTTCCATTTTATTTATCAGTATAGATATAGATTTTATGAAGGTAAGAAACAATCAAATCGGACCTTTATATTCATAGATTTCAAACTATCTACCCCCAAATAGAGATCATCCTGTCACAATTTCAATAACATTTGTGATTATTAATAAAAAAATTCTATACAAAAAAGCACTTATAGTTTCTCTCATCCAACTTTCCACGAACATATACAAATATTTCAAGTGATGGGGTTACCAACGGATGGTATGTAATTTGTATTACATAATAGCTACTCATTTAACGCTTTGCTCGGGAGCCTTCCTAGGTACGTTTTAATTTTTTTCAGCAGAACCCTAATAATTTTTCTAACATAAAAGTTTTCTAAGTTCCTACTTATAACATCAGATATCTGCCAATGAAAATTACGTCAATTCATGAAAAAGTTCGAAAATATAGTTTTATTTAAAACAGTATATAAATTGTACACCCATTATCATAAAATTGACACGTGAGTATGTATCTAACAATATAATTAATTATAATTAAACAAAATAACATTTAAAACAAGCTAGACAGTAGTTATGACCCCAATATTTCACTTAACGCCGACGCAATCAAGCCACGACTTGAGACACCGAGTAAATTGACTTGGTCTAGTTACTCTCATAATAAAACATGCAAAATGTAAACGTAAATAATGAATAATGGTGATATATATGAGATGTTTTATAATAATTGTATGTTTCAACAAAAGAAATCGAACCTGCATCTAGCGCACACCATCAGAGCTATTTGACATACATTTTAACCGACTTTCAAGACGAGAATTTACTAAGTTCTGAAAAAAAAATGATTTTCGACTACATACATAATATATTGTTAATTAATCACCCACCATGAGCAAAGTTGCAGGATTTTGCTAGTATATACAAAAAGGTATATTTCTTACTAAAAGCCTTTGAAAACTATTTTCTATCAGAGCAGCATCGTAGCAATTTCCTAAAATACCTTCGCAATCGTTTCAACGGAAACATCTAGTATATTAAACTGGAAGCAAAACTTACACCTTACCTACCGGAAATAAACTTCATCTGCCAAGTAAAACCAACACAATCACTTTAAACAGAATATTTTTTCCAATTTATTCAACGTTTTATTTTAGTACTTTGTTCTACACATTTCGTATGTTTTACAGCAAACAACTTGATAGCAGACAATACATAAATAAATAATAAATATTATGTTGAGACATTAACACACAACACCATCTAGTTCAATGGTAAGCTACGAGGCGTGTGTTATGGATACCAGATAATTGATACACTACACACACACACACTATATATATATATATATATATATATATATATATATATATATATATATATATATATATATATATATATATATATATATATATATAATAGTACAAATATTTGTGTTCATCACACAAATAAATGCTCACTGGGACTCGAACCCGCGACGGCTGGCACAGAGAGTAGGGTCACTACAAACTGAGCCAAACGTGTGACAACAATCATCACAACGTGTGATGACAAATTGTAAGAATTTTTGTCACCTTCGATGTTTTCGTGCATAAATAGTTTTCAAATTATGACAATTTGCGGTGGTTTAATTTTTACATTAGTAATAGAGTTCAAATCCACTATCATTTTTCCATCATCACGATATAGGAATAACGATATGGCAGGGTATAAGCCATATACGAGAGATGCAAATGCTAAAGCGAAAAATGATAATAAAATCCTAAAAGTCTTTGATGACTCATAGTTGGCACTCTATACCCGATCAACTTTGCGAGGCAAATGGGATAAAGCGACAGGTACTACGGCTTTATTTTTATTGGACAAAAAATATTCTTTACTTTATCTTCTAACAGTCTTTTTATTTATTTACATATCTATTAATTAATGAATTATATTCTAATAGTCTTTTTATTTATTTATCTACTAGCGACTCACCCTCGCTTCGCTCGGGTTCGTCCCTAGCTTGCTTCCCCATACAAACTTTCATCCGCATTTTCACCCCCTCAAGGGATAATTTCCGGAATAAAAAGCTTCTTACCAAATTTCATCTTAATCGGTCTAGTAGTTTCGGAACTTATTCGGTACAAACAAACAAACAAATCTTTCCTCTTCATAATAATATATTATTTAGATAAAAAATATAAATGGAAATGATCGAATTTCAACCATAAACATTACCATTTTACTATAAGCTATATATTTATATACATCGAGAAAAATCATATAGGTCCTTATGCGGCCAATTTTTTAATCTATTTTATTTCTTTATAAGCATATAATGCAGTGTGGGAGATCTTTTATAATTTGATGCAATCTAGCCGGCCTAGTGACCTGGCAAGTAGAAGATAAGCAGTTTAACGTAGCAAAATGTTATTTAATGTGAAAGCAAGTAAGTTTGCAATTAAGAAACTATGTGACATAAATAAATCGACTAACGTCGTCATCCCACTATATGTCACGTCGTGACAGGACGCGAGTTCCATTCTCGGCTGGTGCAAATATTATAAAACTAAATACATATATTTCTAGCTTTTTATAGCAATGGGCCCTAGGTTCAAGTCGGGTTGGATCAGATAATAAGTGTGATTCTGTCAATGAAAACCTACATTAGATCATTATTTTTTCATCTATCCATTTGGCTCAGAGGTGGAAAATCTGGCACTACACATAAAACCAAAAACAATAAGTCATAGATTCTATTTCCACGTCCAGCTTTTTTGGGTTTGCTTGGTTTAAAAGCCAAATTAACCATTAAAATTGAAATAAGTTCTTGAACCTTTCAAATACACAACACTCTTTCACTTACCCAGCTGGATATGCAACCACTTCGGTGTTGGGATCGCAGTCGAGGGCCGCGTTACTGCTGACCGTCAGCCCGAACACAGTCTCCAACTTGATCTATGAACAAGAAATAAGATGAAATAAGATGAAATCCTATATATAATATCTTTATATATCACAATTTTAAATGCTAGATAAAAATCATACAATTATTTAACTAAAATGTTTAATCATTTTAATTGCAATTGTATTAGAATGGCATGTCATTGATATTTGATATACACTACCTATCTATATAAGTGACACTGGCAGAAAAAAGCGTCTGTTAACCGAAAGCCATAAAGAAAAAAAAACAATTGATAAATTTTAACCGTTTTAGCAATCTACGTACGTATTCAGACGTTATATGGTTTTCCGAGTGCGCACAGACACACTGGACTGTCTGCACTGGTCAGTATTTGGAAACGTTGCATCTATATCACCTCCGGGTAAATTTTGAAGAAATTAATTAAATTTCTAAGAAATCTACTGTTAACTGACACGCCGGCGTATCCGCCGTTGATGAGGGGATATATAAACAGTCAAAGACAAACCAGTTTAGTACCTTTTTCTCATCTGTTTGTCGACCGATTTTTTTTTGTTTAACATTGACTTTGTTTTCATAATACTTTCTTAGTACTTTCTTAGATTTACACGAATATTTGACATTTTAAATAAAACTATCTTTTCAGATTATTTCGCGGATTCATTTTGATTTTAGGTTCCCGACGTTTCGAATGCTTTACAGCAATCATGGTCACGGGAGAGACTGAGGTGTTAGATGTCTCTAAAGTATTATATTGTTGTTACAGACAGCCTACCCACAAATAACAAAATAAATTCAAAAATTGAAAAATTGCACCAAAGTACCTAACAATATTTTATAACTTTAAACATTTTTATAATTTTAATTAGTTTTTTAATTAATTAAATATGGAATATTATTTATTTAACTTTAGCTGTTATTATTATAATTATTACTATTTATTTAATATGTCAATATATATTATGACTTTGTTTTGTTTTGATGTTTGCTATTGACGAATAGCGTTATCAATAATATGTACGAGTATAATTAATTAATTATCGTTGAATAAAATTATATATTATCTTTGCTCAATTTTAGAAGTGCTCTATTCGGGCTGTTGTACTATTTTTTTATAACATATTATTCATATTTCCACAGCTTACGTATAACAGTATAATACTCGTAAGACGTGTTTATCAGTCTGCTCAAACAAACCAGTAAGCTCTTAATTAACTTATCTATATTATCGCGTTGTAAACATGTAGGAAAAAAACAGATCGGATTTATCTCGTTATTGTCACAAAATTAAAATAATTAAATTCGTTTCATATGCCAGCGGACAATATTTTAAGATATGAATAGGTAAATACTCGTATGTATTTTACGTATCAAAACATATATTAGATTTCCTATCCGTCGGCTGGCACCGACTTCGAAAATATCTGATTAGGTATCTATTCTAAATGAAAAGCCCCGTTTAGTTATTTTTTACATTTTAGAGCCTGGAAGTCGGTTTTTTTTTAAGTTTTTATTTATATAGATTAATGTCAAAGTTTAGATGTTTCAGTGTTTGGATGGATGTTTGTTACTCAATCACGCCAGAACAGCTGAACGAATCTGGATGAAATTTAGCACAGATAGTCTGGAATAGCACATAGGCTACTTTTTATCTCGGAAAATTCGACGGTTCCCATGGGATCGGTTCTTGTTTTTCTGCAAACCCGAGCAAATCGAGGGTGAGCCACTAGTATTTTATATACACGCCATTATCTCAATTGTCCTGTACTATGATATATTCGAGGCACGTGCAAAAACTACAATAACTACAATAGATAAAAACTAGATAACGTCCGTTACTTAACCATAAAACGTGGTAAACAGTGAAATGAAGATGCAAATAGGCTGCAAGGTTAAACTAACTGTTCAAACATTAAACACCTTGACACTAAAGGTATGGTCGTGATAATGGATACCGAGTACCAGTTAAATATATAATTAAATAAAAAATTAAAAAAAAACCCATGACCATATTGTATGACCATAAACAAAAAACAAAATCAAAATCGGTTCATCCGTTCGGGAGCTACGATACGACAGACAGATACACACACGTCAAACTTATTACACCCCGTCGTTTTCGCATCGGGGGTTAAAAAGCACCAGCGACATACCCTTGCTTCACTCGGGAGACGGCAATGTTAGGGGCGGACCGTGAATTGGGAGGGTAACACTTCGTGGGGGATCTCAAAATGAGAATTAGATTAATTAGAATTGAACTTACTATCATTTTGTCTTTAAAAAATCTATAATGATAGATGGTACTAGACGGAATTTTGCTTCTGGTCAATTGATCTCAGGGAGAGGATTCTTGTTTATATTCGGTATTTTTTATTTTATAAATTTACAATATTATCCATTGTTTTCGCCAGGGGACTCTTTATAACTTAGAGGCCCTGGACTGTCCAAAAAGAATAAAGTGTACGAACCGTTTACTTCCTACCGCCAGGCTTTTACCAAGTAGGCATGTCATGACTCGAACCCAAGACTACCAAGTACCAACTAAAAACCACTACACCAACGAAGTAGTAAATATATATTATACAAAGTATGTATATGGATGTATGTAAATCTATCAATGAATTATCATTGAAAGAGAAAGCTCAAAAAACTAACATAGAAGCGTGGGTAAACTTGTCTTGACATTATTCTAAAGTTTCATCACTCTCGGGGACCTTCAGATTTGCATACCACTATCATTCATATATGTATTATTATGTAATATCTCCATAAAGATTAATGAAAATTCTTTTAAGTTGTGAATTTTTAAAGTCAATTTGGGCTTATTTAAGGCTCTCAATGATATGTGGCCTTACTTTAAAGTAGTTTTTGTTGATAATTACCATACACCATATCTATATATTAGTGCTTTATTACAGACTTGCACGTTCTCTCGGCTCTACTCGCAAAGTTAGGAATATTAAAAATAAGGATAAGGATTTTCATTAAAATTCCAACCCTCCTTTTGCCCCTAAAATATTAAATTTTCAAAAATCCTTTCTTATTAGATACCTACACCCTATAAGCAGTCTATCTGCTAAGTTTGGAGCATTTATACTTTCTCAAAATTCGTTATTATAAATAAAATTACTTTTTCGGATTTTTCTCTCGGATTTATTTTGATTTTGTTAGTCTCTACACTTGCACTTGCACTTTAACAATGCACTCGAAACTTCGGGAACAAAAAATCAAAATTAAATCTACGGTAAAATCCAAAAAGATACAGTTTTATTTAAAATGTCAAATATTCGCGTAAATCTAAGAAAGTATTATTTCGCGATAAGTCATTGTGCAAGTGGTATTTCGCTTTTCGCATACAGAAGGGAGGTATGGGTATATACTATGAATATAATTTTGTTACAACATATAACATAAATTATTAGTAATTAGTAAATACATGATGTCGTCAGCAACCCGCATTTCTTACAAGGACTTGTGTAATTAAAAACAAGCAAATCGATTTGAATGTCTGTGTACGTACAGACATATAGCGAATTATAAAAAGTATGCCGTAAAGATTTATTATAATTTCTTTAACAGGTGGTCATAGATTCGATTAGCGCCCAAGACACATATTAGGATACCTTAAAACATAAAATCAAAACAAATTTTTAGTTGGTAAATAAGCAAATAATATGTGTCTACAATATTTTATTTAAGTCGCAATTAAAAACGACAAAGTTTTATTAAAATCGGTACATTAAAATAACAAAAAAAAACACAAATATAACTTGATCCCTTGTTCTTAGCGCATTTAATGGACTAAACAAACAAACGAGCGCAGTCAAAGACAGTACATAAAGATAATTTCTAATAACGTGATATTCTAAGTGAAAGTTGTAGCAGTCATTGACATAACATGGTGCAGGTGCATTTATTACGTAATTAATTAGAAAATTAATCGATTCGAGTGGACGGTACAGAAGTGTAGCATAAGAGACGAACGCCGAATTGGCTTTGATTGCGTTTCTTAAACAAAAAATGTAATATACTATATTATTCTAGCGACTCACCATCGCTTCGCTCGGTTTCGTCTCTAGGTTGATTCCCCATACAAACTTTCATCCCCATTTTCACCCCCTTGAGTGATGATGTCCAGGATAAAAATGTAACGTATCCTATGTCCTTCCCAGGATCTCAAACTATCTTCTTACCAAAATTTCATCTAAATCGGTCCAATAGTTTCGGACCTTATTGGGTACAAACAAACAAATTTTTCCTTTTATAATATTATATTAGCACAAAACTACTAATGATTCATTACTATAATATATAACCGTAATAAGCAAATACTGATTTTGTAGAAATAAAAAATAGATGAATTAAAAATCCAAAGGAAGATTAAATTTTTTTTTACTTCGACTACATAACAAAAAAAATGTTATATCTGACAAAAAATAATTTTCCGTAATATTTCATCTTTTGACTGTAACAAAAATAAGGTCATAATTAGGTTAAGGAAATTTCCGGCACCACCAAGCCAACTCTAAACGCTGCTATATTACTTAATTAATTATTATACGTATAGAACGTATAATAAAATTCTGAGTTCAATCTGTACATATTTTAGTGGAAAATATTATTGAAATAGTCATTGTTATCGATACAGAGGACGAATCTATAGTTTTTAGAATTTTTGTCTGTCTGTCTGTGACCGCAACACGAGAAAACCATTGGACAGATTTTGAAAAAAATTGGTATGATGATAGCTGATTATCCTGATTATCCAGATCAACATTTAAGATACTTTTTACTGAATAAAAATATCTCATCTCTGAAAAATCTATATTAAACGTTAAAACGTAGCTAGTTGCTTAACATAAAGTTAGACTACATCTAGGTCACATCGTAACCTATATATGTATATACATAATATATATCAAAAGCACACGAGCGAAGTCGCGGTAACAAAATATACATACATACAATCCGACCAGTTTACTTAAAGAGTAATATTTCAAAAGAAACAAAAACCTTGACTAGCTCGACAAGG